TGATTAAAGAGCCGAGCCCAGCCAGGACCCTAAGTTCCAACGCTGACCAGGGTCCGGATGTAGGGCAGGCCTGCAGGCGGCCACGGGGAAGCCCAGGAAAAGCTCCACTGCCCATCAGCCCCCGGGCCTGCCCTGTGGGGGGCAGGGTGCTCAGGAAGAGCAAACCTGGGCTCAAGTTCCCGCTCTGCCACAGATACTGGGCAAATCTCAGATCCTATCTGAGCCTCTAGCTGAAGCCCCAGTTGTCCTTGACAGGCAGAAACTAGGCCTCAGCATCGTGGGTTACACACCGCAACTGCCCAAAGGACCACCGTTTCCTGAGCAACCACAGCAACCGGGCTTGAAGCTGAATGGGCTACATGCATCATCTCGTGTGGCCCTTCAACCCTGGGAGGCACTCGTACTAAGTCCACTTTACAGATGAGGGCTGAGGACCAGAGAGCCTAGGTGACTTGCCTGAGGTCACACAGCTGCGCACAAGAGAGAGAAATCAGCCTACATATTGGATTGGCCAAAAGATTCATTTGCTTTTTTTTCTGTAAGATGGCACTAGTAGCACTTAGTTGTCTTTAACTTCATTCAAAACCATTTTGTTAGATTGTATTGTGACAGCTGTCATATCAGCATGCATTTAAAAAAAGTATCAAAATTGGTGAGTTTTTGTGTAGCTGTTTTAATTTCGAAGATGGAAGAAAATATGCAACATTTTCAGCATATTATACTTTATTATTTGACTGATTGAACGTGTCAACAGTGGTTTGCGCAGTTTTGTGCTGGCGAGTTCCCACTGCACGATGCTCCGCGGCCAGGGAGACCAGCTGGAGCTGACGGCGACCAAACTGAGACATGGACTGAGAACGATCAGCCTTCCACCTCGGGAGGCCGGTGGGGTTTGACATCGCCCCCTTCCGCTCTGCTGGGAGAGCGGCGCCTGCCTGGAGGAAGAAGCACCATTCAAAATTCTCACAAAACCTGTCTAGTTTGAACTTTAACTTACTATTTTGGACAGAAAAGCCTGTTTTAATTCTGGAGAGAAAAATTTCTGGTGAGCAAGTTTTTTAAAAATGCATTTTCCTGCCACCAGTTTTCCAGAGTAGAGCCTGCACATGCACACGCATGCATGCACGCTCATGCGTGTGATCATTCGCATGTATGGCACAGGGCACACAGCAGGACCCTCCCTCCCTCCCTCTCCTGAGGCAGGGCCCACGTGTCACTGTGTTCCCTCCCTATTCCCCGATCCAGTGCCTGCCCAAGCAGGCCCTGGAAAATGCCTGGAGGTGGACGGAAAGGCTGAACAGGTGAGTGATGCGTGCGTGCTACGTGTCTTTGAGCTGAGGGTGGGTCAGACATGCATCGTCATTCTAAGGGAAACCTACACATCTGGCCTTGAACTCCACAGCTGTCTAGAGAAATTCCAAGGAGCCTTGCACTCAGGGACACACTGGAGTGTCAGAGCCTCCACAAAACATAGCCCCACCTGTGTCACCTGCATCACCTGCAAAACATTCTGCAAACAGCTCAAAGCCCCCAAGAGCAGCAAACCTGCCAGGTGTGGTGCCCTTCCGTGCGTGGGGAGGGCGGCCTGCTCCTCCCAGGCACTGGTGCACGGAGACAGGGCGGGCTGGAAGGAGGAAGGGGCGGGGCCTGGCAGCAGCAGGCTGCGAGCGCTGTTTCCCACTCCCCGGCATCTCCACCCACCGAGCACCACACTCACACCAACGAGGAAATGAAACAGCACAGAGGCCACTACACCTCTGATGGAGAACAGGGAGATCGTGGAACCCTCCACACCTCACTGGGATTCCCACGCTGCCACCTCCCAGTTGTGTGACCCTGGGCAAGCCACATCACCCCTCTGGCCTTGCTGTCTTCCAAGTTCAACGGGAACGATGACACATCCTGCCACCTTGATTCATCAGAATGTGAGTTTAGGAATAACTGACTCTGGCACAGAAGGGGCTTCCCACGCCTCGGCACACCCAGGTTCCTCGTGGCTAATCGACAGGATCCGTGAGCACTGGCACAGCAGAGAAAGGGTGCAGGTGCCGGAGCCAGCTTTGCCGTGACCTGACCTGCTGTGTGGCCTTGGGCAGCCCCTCCTCCCTGAGCCACATGGGTAAGCATTTGCTCTGAAGCAGAGGAATCCCAGGCAGGCGAGCGGCACCCAGAGCAGGCAAACCCAGGCTGCGCCCAGGAGGCAGTGGTGCCGGTCTCCTCCCTCCTGCAGCCGGGGGAGGAACCGTTTTTGGAAAGACCGTAATCCAGACCAGTAACATAACGAAGCCCCGAGCGTCCTCAGAGCCCAGGCCCCTCCCTGGCAGGCTGGGCGAGGGGGAGAGTGGGACGCCTCCGAACCTCTGGAACCCGAATCACTTCCACGCCAGCGCCCTTCAGAGGCTGGAAGCGAGGAAGCCGCGACTCCCAGGAAGTTGAGCTCGGGGCTCAACCCCAGCATGGCACAGGGCAGAGGCGGCCCAGCAGGTGTTCAGGCTCTGCCCCTACAAAATTCGGGTTATGCCTTCTTGGGGGGTTCCAGGGACAGTGGTGTCTGCCTGACCTGGCTTTCCAGGGGAGCCACACTCAGACACAACATCTCTGGCCTCGGCCCTCTGGGCTAACTCCGGACACCAGTGTGGGCCTGAGGTCCCCATCACCTCCCTCGATGTGCTGGGGCCACTTCCCCCTTGCTCTACCTCACTGGCCCCCCACAGCTTAGGTCGGAGCAGCCAGACGCCTGAGGTCCGTGCGCCCCACCAGAAGGCGTGCGCGTGCTCGGAGAAGCCTGACGGGCAGAGCGCTGCCGCCGCACAGGCAACGTGACCTGATGCCCGCGGAGAGCTGTGGACGCGGGGACACCCACTGAGACATTACTACACCACTTTGGACTTGTATTTCCTTTCTATCTTACCTGCAAGGAACGTGTATTTCTATAATAAAGGAGGGAGAAAAGGCTTTAAAAAAAATATACCTGTTGTGAAAATGTCCACCTGTGTCAGGCCTGTGAGGCTTCTGGATGTTTTATCTAAGTAATTAATTTTCCGCCAGCCCCACTCCTGGGGCCAGCACCCAACTCTGCCCCCTGGGTCCCAGAGCTTCTCGCCGGCACCACCCAAGGCCCTCGGCCCAGACCCGGGAGACTGCATAACCCGTCGGCTGTGCACCCCGCCACCTCCGAGGGCCTGAGCCAATTAATTAACACGGTTTTTCAAGGTGTTTCCAATGGTGCATATAGAGAAGAGTGGGAAACAGAGTCCTCAAGCTAAAGAATTCCTCCACTGAAGAGCTGTTGGCTTGAGTGCTTTTCCCCAAGGAGCCCTGTGAGGGGAGGCCGCGTTCTGAGCAGACACAGAGGACATGGCTTCATCGTGTTAAAAACTGGTCAGAGGAGACCTCAGTGTTAACGCGAGGCTTCCTCCTACGAGGAAAACCCATCTGAATCAAATCTGGAAAGCCCTCATGTACTCAGCGTCACTGGGCACCTGCTCAGGCCACCCCCCAACTGGGGGTCAGACCTTACTCTGGGTCTCAGTGGGGGGTATACACCAATTCCCTGCCTCCAAGTTCTCATTTTGGTGGAGGACCCCACAGGCGCTGATGACAAGAGGGACCACAGGTGGCGTGGGCACATCAAGGGGAGCTTAGAAGAGCTTCTGAGGAGGAGGAGCAGGAGGAGGAGGGCAGCCAGCCCAGTCCGTGGGGCCAGGGGAGACCTCGTCTTTGCTGCGGAGCTGGCCCAGATGTGGCCCAGAGAGGTCACACAGCATTCACCAAAATGCCCACTGCACAGAACAAAGCCCTGCCCACCAGCGATTTGTCTGTCTGGGGGCCGGTTCAGAGCTGACTCCTCCGGATGAGACAGGCGGCTGCATCTGAAATGGAGAGGAAAGGATGGCGGGGCGTTGACTTCTCCCACCTTTGGTGACCCAAGCCTGAGTCAGGCGCTTTCTCCGCCAGGACCAGGGAACCCGCCAAAGTCCCAGTGTGTCCCAACTGTCCCAGAATTACTGCTGATAATGGTGCTGCTTACTCACCACATCCTGGTTCGGAAAAAAGAAAAACACCCTCCCCACCAAAGTTCTGTGGCACTTTCCTGCCGTCTGCAACTCTGGCCTGCAGGCCCACCTAAGACTTCACACCTGCCCTCAGCCTTCCCCCACGCATCCCCCGTCCCTTCTCAGATGACCATTACCTTCTGGGAGGCCCCCCCCAGATCCACCTACAACTCTCCATCCATTTCCGGATTCCCAATCCCCATCACACCACTTGGCACACCATTCTGCGACGACCCGTTCACCTATTTTCCCCGTGGCCTATGAATTCTTACCATATTAATCTCCGAGTCCTTCACTTGCAGCCCAGCACCTGGCTTATAGAGGTATTTGATAAATAATGTTTGTTAAATTAATGAGCAGCCGTCAAGGCCAAGGCCAAAAGAGTCAACTAGAACCAGCAGCTCCTTTCCTCTCCCCGGCCCTGGCGCCCTGCAGAAATGTCACACTCCTGGAAAATGATCTTGTCCCCAAGTGAGCAAGGAGGGCTGGTTAGGTGCCGCCTCTAACAAGCCCGGGGCCCTGGGCCTCAAAGTCCCCAAGACCCACAGAACCAGAGGCTGATTTTATCAACTGTCTCAACAGAGCCTTGCAGCTCAGACATTCTACACCTCTGACGTCTGTAACTTACATTCTCCTTCAAATGACAAATCAGACCCCAGCAATGTCTAGCACGGCCTCAAAAACACTTGAGCCCGCAATTTCACGTGTAGGAATTGAACCTGTGGAAATCATCAAATACCAACATTTATACGCAAGGATGCTCACTGTGGCACCACCTGATACAAAGAAAAACCAAGCAAAATGTGGCATATCACACAACAGAACCTACGTTGCTATTAAAGATCAGGCTCTAGTATTTTGTTAACATCAGGAAATAGTTATAACATGTTAAATAAATTAAAAAGGAGACTACAAAACAACAGGAGCTCAATTTTATTTTTAAAAAAAAGAAAAAGGGAAAGGCAAAATCATGCACATTTGCACACATATAAAGAAATGTGGAAATAAAATTTACCCAAAATATTACCAGAGGTTTTTTCCTGAGCAGTGAGAGTGGATGACTCTTTCAGTTTTCAGCACTTTTCACATATTCTTCTATATTTTACAGTCAGGAGAAAAAAACAGCTGTTAAAAGAAAAGTCAACCCTCCATCGTATGAGGCCAATAGTAGGCAGTGGTTGAAAAGGCCTCAAAACTGTGACATTTCATCGGGTTCTTCCCCAAGGCCAGTAGCTGTGCCTTTAGCAGATGTAACTGGCAAAACCAGAGCACAAGCAGGACCTGGGCACCGGAGTGGAGCCAGGACAACCTCCTCATGTTCAAAGGCGGCAGGGAAAGCAGCCCGCCTCATGGGAAACCCCCTGCCATTGCCCTTCCCCTTGGCCACTTCCTCAGAATAAGACCATTTCTGGGTCTGTCAACAGCCTGAGAATTCACCCAACTCCACCCGTGCGTACGGCCTGCTCCTGTGCCAGACCCTGCGTAGGGCACTGCGGAAGAGAAGCTGGACCGAAGGTCTCTCTAGGTCCCTGGCCTCTGCCTGCACACCTCCGAACACTGGGAGCTCCAGGGCCATGCCCGGCTGTCTTGGGTCAGAAACCTCATCCAAGCCCACCTTCCTCCCCCCACCCAAAGTCCTGCCCTGTGTTCTCTCCAAGGGTGGGGGGGCCCCCAGGCAACAAAACCAGTCCCCTCACCCGCTCCGACTCCAGCCATTCGGAAAGCCCTTTCCTAGTCTCAGGCACCAACAGCACTCCTGGTCCCCTGCAGCAGGCAGGAGGGGCGGTACTCATTGCCCAGAATAACTGCATGTTAATTCCTTCCTGAAGAAGGGCAACTGGACTCTCAATCTCCTCCCCCCTGGATTCTGAAGTGGGGCTGGTGGCAGCTGAGAGGCTGTGACTGACACAGAGAGGGTGCAACACCCACACACACTCGCCCAGCCCGCCATCACCAAACTGATCTTATAAAGACCCCACAAGTAGAAGCCATCAGCCCCCAACCCCCTCCGTCCCCAGTTCTTCTGACAAGCCTTACTGCTGGGTGAGCGAACCTCTTCCTGTCAGATCTGGGAGTCCGAGTTAGAACTGCTCCAGTCCTGCCGTCTAGTCATTCCGGCCTGTAAAGCAGGGGGAACTGCGGACCCAGTACCCCAGAAACTCTGAGGACATGTGTCAATTCCACTCGCAAAGGGCTGGGCAAGGCCCCAGCCCCTGGACACACCGGTAAGCCCTGAGGCCCTCTCTCCCACCCTCGCAGTGACACCTCTTTTCCCACCCTCCCCTCCCAACCACCACTTTCAGACGATCCATCAAGAGACAGCCACCTCCCTCCAGTCCACTGAGGGGCAGTGCCTGGCTGGGCACTTTAGGGAGGGATCCGTCCTCTGGGAGGAGGTGCAGAGCTGGGGGGCCAGGATGAGTGCAGGGGTGCCCCCCCAGACTGCACACCTACCTCCACCACTAGGTTGACTGTCAGTGACACCAAGTACCCCCAACTCTCTAATTATGAGCAACGGGGACCCCGTGTCTTCACGGAGCTTAAGGGTGACACTGTCTCAAAGAGAGTGGGATGCGGCCAGCACCTGCGAAGGCCGGTCCTCCTCCTCTGCTCTCCCAGGGCACACACGGGCCCCCTCCCCCGCCAAGCGGTGCCCCTCGCCCAGGTGCCAGCCCTGGGGAGGCTCTGACTGCGAAGAAGCCCCCTAACCAGGGTTTATATAACAACAACATAAGCATTTTATTTTTTAATTAAGCTTCTTAGTTTCTTAGTATCACAATGGAATGATGAGAAAACAAGAACAAAAAAAACCATGAGTCTGCAAATCTCTAACACAGAGCTGAGACTTCAAGGCAACTGGGGGAGGGGCGGTGACGGAAGTGCCAAAACAGTCCCAGCGTGGTGGCTGGTCATGTCTCCCCTTAGCCGGAGGCCAGAGGGGCAGGGAGGTGGAATGGTGAGAAGGTGGCACTGTCATAGGCTGTCCTTGGCATTTCAGTCTCATGACTGATAGACACAAGATGTACACGAAGCACCGCACGGGATTTCCTGGTGCCCCCCACCCCCGTCCCCACCCACGACCCTCCGCCTGCCCCGAATGTCCTGGGCACTGCGACCAGTGCTGAGAGACACCTGGAGGCCAGTTCTGCTGGGTGGGCAGCAGGAGAGGGTCGTGGAGGAGGGGCACGGGGCAGGCGATGCTGCTCAGGGCGTTAAGAATCCGAGGAGTAACCGAGACTCGTCTGGGAGACGACTGGCGGAAGGTGAGGTGGCGTGGGTGGCGGCAGCAGCAGTCCGTGTCCCTCGGGCAGAAAGCAGGCCACGCCTAGAGCTTCACTGTGCCGGGGGGCAGGCTGTCATTGCAGAGTCTATAGTATCGCAGGTCGTTGACCAGCCTGTGCACATTCTGGGTGAACGAGGGCAGGTCCTGGAAGGCAGGGGCACAGCTGCAGCCTAGCCACACACAGTCCCCGGCGTCATCCCCGCCCCCGGCACCTCCCCCCCAGACTGCTCCAGGGCTCCGAGAACATTCTACACAGGGTGCCATTCCTACTCCTTCTCAGACCAAGTGTGAGCAAAGGCAATGGGGGGAGGGATGGCAGTGAGTGCCGCCCTTGACCGCGCCCTGGGCCAAGCCCTGGCCTACACATGCAGACAACTGCTCCTGTCACCCTCACCACAGGCCTGCGGCAAGGGTGCTGTCAGCACCACCATTTTAAGAACGAAGAAGTGAAGCACAGAGAGGTGAAGAAACCTGCTGCGCCCCAGCTGGCTAGCTCAGTTAGAGCATCATCCCACTACGTCAAGGTTGTGGGTTCGATCCCCGGTCACGGCACATAGAAGAATCAAGCAATGAATGCATAAATCAGTGGAACAACAGATCGACGTTTCTCTCTCTTCTTCTCCCCCGCTCTCATAAATGAATGAATGAATGAGTGAAATATATATATAAATTTGGGGGGAAAAAAGAAAAAAGAAGGAAACCTGCCGTAGTTACAAGACAGGAAGGGAAGGGGAACACTGCTATGGCTGCCAGCGTGTGTCTCTCCTTCAACAAGCCCAGCAGAGCCTTGTCTGCAGACCCCTCCCAGGGCCCAGGCCGGCCCTACCACTCAAGGGTGACACTGGCAGGGGCCCGCCGGCGCCCACCACGTCGCCCGCTGCCTGCTGAGCTGCAGAGCGGACTGCCAGTGGAGAGGGCCCCTCACAGCTGAAACCCCAACACTGCCACCCGGCACTATGAGACACCCCGAAGTTCAAGTCCTCATGTTTAGACTGTGATTACTGAACACTGGATGGCAAAACGTGGAGTAACATCAATGGCTCCCTGTCACAGAGTAGGCTGGCTCCCTGCCTGGCTGGTGGCACCGCAGCCATCGATCCCTTCTGAATCCCCAGGTGACAGGACAAGGCTTGAAAAATAGCTGAAGGCACTTGCAGCTCTCCTCCATCCCAACCACTTACCTGACTAAACTCCCCTGCTCGTCAAATCGCGGGACAAAGCCCGCCTTGGCCAAAAAGGCCCCTCAGACACCTCTTATTTCCCAGCTCCAGGCAGCAGGTAGCACCTCCGCTCTGAGCTCTCAAAGCGCCCGGCCTCCCCCTGCTTGTGGGCAGTGCACACAGGCTCCAAAGCCAGAGCACCAGGTCTGACTCGTGCTTCCTGGCTCTACCGTTCCCAAGTTCTGGAACTGCCAACTGACTGCTGACCATTCTGAGCCCGGTTCACCTGGGAAATGGGGTTGACAACAGGCGCACATCAGAAAGCCCAGTGTGGGCTGCAGCAGGTGCTCCTGCCAGTTCTCCCAACCCAATTCTTCCAAGGCAGAGACGGGTGCCCCAATACCTGGCCCAGGGCCTGAGAGGCGGCCAGCTTCAGATAGTGAGTGAATGAATGAATGCACTGATTCCTTTATTTCATCCTCAAGAAAATATACCAAGAGGTGTCTTTTAAATCAGTGGCTCCCAAATGCTGATTCTGAATTTCCTGGTGGAGCGCATGATGAAATTTTTGTATCTTTAATAAGTACCCCAGGAGTTCTGATGCATGACTAAGTCTGAGAACCACTCGTTTAGATAAAGAAGTTGACTGGTAATGACATCAGTAGAAACTGATCATTAAATATTAGGATTTACAGAGAAAGAAAGATTCCAAGACAAACAGGAGCAGAGTCTAAGAAGAAACGGCCCCGATACACATCACTACCAAGACCAGCGAGGAAGGCGTAGTTTGCACCCACAAGAGCAACCTGTCCGTCTCAAGACACTGATGGCAGCAAGCACAGGAGTCAGCCAGGAACACCAAGAGGACATGGACAACAGAGAGTCCATTTCATCAAGTGTGAGGTGATGGAAGATGAAAATGACTTACTCCTTAAGAAAAGTTCCAGGGACAGCTGATCAAGCAAGCAGCAGAGACTTAACAAACAGCCAAAACAGGAAGGAGGAGGGCAGGCCAGTGCCCAGAAAGGAGGCCCCAGGACAGGAAAAGCTGGGCTCCAGACACAGCAGCAACGATGGCTCTGTGTGCATCGCCAGCCCAGCTCCGCCCAAGGCGCTGCCAGGTGAGGACAGCCCACCAGACAGACCTTCCCCGGGAAGGCAGCGAGAGGGTGTCCTGGGGGCTCCTCCCAGGACCTGGTAGCAGATCAGGCCACACAGAGCCAGGCCAGGGGCGGAAAGGCCTGGGAAGAGCTGGGGTCCCATCTTTAAGTCTGGGACCCACAGAAGCAGCCCCAGAAGATGACTCTTCTCAGCCTACCTGCAGGTCTGCAAGTTCAGGCTGTAGTGACCCACGAGGGGCCAGCGGCTGGGCAGAGATGTGCTCGACAGGGTACAGGGGGAGTACCAAGAAGCTGAGACAAAGCAGCTGGACTGGCAGAGACAACACTGGGGCCCAGTGGCTGATGAGAAGAAAAACCCAAGTGTTGCTAAAGCCAAAACTGGGAACGCATGGATCCACAACAAAGGCACAGCTGCGAGTCATCCGGAACCGCACGGGCTGCCTTGGAGCCAGCGAGGGTGCAAAGTGCACATGACGGAGGCCTGCTCCTCCTCGCTTCACAGGCACCAGGCACGAGAGCCCACAGCTGCCCTCCCTTCAGCCTGGCCTCTCTCTCCTCACCCGATCCATCTTGAAATTTCGCCCCAGCACATTTTTCTGGTTGGCATCCACGCCATCACAGCTGCTCAGGAACTCGGGGAGGAAGGCTGCGAAGAAGCCATCAAAGTCCACAGAGGCCATGTTATAAATGGCGATGCCGATCTCCTCCTGCAGAAGGTCGTGGGACTTGTGGACCAGGACCTGCAGCAGCACGTTCACAAACTGGAACAGCATGGTGGTCCGGAAGATCTTCTGCAGACAGAGAGCCCAGCGGGAGTGATGGCCACGGGGCTGACCCAGGGTCCCTGGGGCCTCTCCCGGTCCCAGTCTACTTCCCGTCATACTCTTGCTGTCAACTTGAGAAGGGTGGGACTCAGCCAGGGCCCTGACGCCTTCAATGAAGAATCCTTTCTGAGAGATGGGCACCTACCTTGTGGTACAGCTTCTGTTTGGTGTTGAGTGTCTCCAAGTAGAAGAGATTTTGTTTAAATAAGTGGATGTCAGGCTGGAGAAAGGACTGTCCAAAGGCCTGTGGAAGGAAATACCACTGTTCTCTAAGCAGCATTAAAACACCGTGAGACCAAACCCTTCTGGGCACCCCCACCCCCAGGCCAGGAGAACCTGGACCCCACAAGCGGCTCCTGATGCCAATGGCAGGGCCAGGGCATCTGTCATCTCCAGGCTTTGCAGCCTGTCTGGTCAGATCTTAGGAATGTTCCCATGCAGTCTTAGCTCCTAAGTTCTCCCCATGGGCCTGACTTCCTTTGGTATCTTCCTACATCTTTTGTAATAAACCTTTGGACTCCTTCGTGAGACCTATCTTTGAAGCAAGAAGCTAACAACTAAGTCCCATACCTCAGCGCCCCCTCAGGCCAACCACTTGCACTCTCTCTAAGCTGCCCTCTCTGCAGATGAAGAGGCCGAGGTTCCAAATTAATGAACTTCACAGGCACTAAAAGGTAGAGCCGAGCTTCAAACCCAGAGTACAGGGCTTTCAGAGACAGTACTTGTTGCAGTGGCCACGTTAGAGAAAGTGCAGTATGTGTCAAAGAAGCAGACCAAGGGACAGACAGCCAGTGGACCCAGCAGCTCGTCCACGTTACCTGCATGATGGCACTGAACTGAGGCTCATTCTCCATCTGCTCCTCAGCAATCCCCCTCTGGACACTGGCCAGGACAGAGGACTTGAAGAAGTACCGCCAGTTGTGATGGAGCGTCCGGAAAAGGAGCTCAAACAGCTCAGCCTTCACATCAGGGGAGGGGCGCTGTTGAGACACACACAGGTCCTCAAACCTTCCCTCCTTGTGGCTCACTGAGCCACTTACAGCCCAGGGCCAGAGCAATACAGGCCTAGGAGAGGCCTGGCAACAGAGAGCGGAGCATCAGCTTCCCACCCACCCTCCTGTCTACCAAGCCCCGAGTCAGCAGTTCAAACCAGGAGTCCTTCAGCAGAAACAGGGCCACACTTGAGACAGAATGCCTGGGTTGGTGCCAAGGGGACTTTTTTCTGATGGAAGCACTCAGCTTTTCAAGCTAGAAAAAGGATACTAAATGGAACAACAATGAGAAATATGGATTTTCTGCCCTGGCTGGTGTGGCTCAGTGGACTGAGTGCTGGCCTGAGAATCAAAGGGTCGCTGGTTGGATTCCCAGTCAGGGCACTTGCCTGGGTTGCGGGCCAGGTCAGGTCCCTAGTAGCTGAGAGAGGCAACTACACATTGATGCTTCTCTCCCTCTCTTTCGCCCTCCCTTCCCCCCACCTAAAACAAATAAGTAAAATCTGTAAAAAATATATGGATTTTTTGTTTAGAAAGCACCCGATTTGATCTGTCATGTCATCCTGGCTGTGTTGTCCCTTTTTTCAGGACCAACAACGCTGTCTAGCTAACCTGCTGATCTGATGCAACCTCAGAAGCTAAAGACAAATAAGAAGGCTTAAAGCAGATCTGCCCTCTATAGAAAAGGGGTTCAAGGAACCGCAGAAAGAAGCATCAGAGGACCTCTGGGGGGAGGTAGCGTGCAGGGCTGAATGCTCCCTGGGCCTGCTTCCTCTTTTGCCAGCAGCTGGAATTCTGGGATGAGGAAGGGGAGGCAGGCTCGCCAGTATTTTCTAATCTGGGTAAAAATCTCCAAGTCACTAGAGAGCATGACAGGCCACATTACTTCAGCTGTCTCTGTAGAATTCAAAACGATAAGGCCCAAATATAGTTACCATATTTTGCCATGCACAATGCTTACATACCATGGGGTATAATAATCCCATGTGTAATGCACACAAAAACGTTGGGTGCACATTAAACACGACAAAACTCGGGTAATTTAGCCTGATTAAGATCAAACTGAGACCAGAAGGCAAGAGCTTCCGTGGCAGGAATCCTTACAGGGCCCGTGTGTGTTTAATGATGCAAAGCAACCGGACTCGTTTAGGCCTTAATTCGGGCAGATAAAAAGATCAGCTCTTATTTACATAACTATCACATAAAATTTGAGCTGTACTTATTCTGGATCTTGACATGCAGAATGCCCATCTGTTTTCCAAGAACAAAGAGCTTTCCTGTAACAAGGAAAGATTTGAATCGTTTGGAGAACTTGCTTTGTATCCTTGAGATCATGAATGTTCTTGATAGGACAGTATTTCTGTTACAGTGTTTGCTGTAAAAACCTATGTGTTCATCTAAAGTTATACTGTTTGCCATGGAAGGCTGATCTTACTTACCAACCAACCCTGCTTACACTAGGCTAGTTCTAATTAACTCAGCCAATATAAAAATAGTGTGCCAAGCTAACGACTTTCTTTCTTGGAAAAATATATTGTACAAAAAACGAAACAAAAAAAACAGCTAACAAATTAGCTTTAAAACACAAAGCATTTTCCTGGATATTTCATTCCCTCCCCAAATGGACAGGAAGTGGCACAAAGGACAGCTCCAGCCCCTCATACCTCAGCGATGATGGGGTACACCTGCTCCATGCACAGGGAGATGATGCTGGGGAGGAAGGGCTTGAACACCTGGCCGGGCTCCTGCACCACCACCTGCAGGATCTTCAGGAACTTCTCAACCACCCGGCAGCCAGTGCTGCCCTCGTGGAGGATGCTCTCGGCTAACTGTTCTCTGCAGAGAAAAGAAACCACGTGGTAGCCAAGGCAATGTTTCTCTGGGACCAGGATGAAAACCAACACTGTGGCAAGTGAAGAAGAACAAAAAAATCCCACACTTTGTAGCCAGGTTCCACTACTTCTCACTTGAAATCTGAAAACCATGGACAGCAGGTATGTGGTTACCTGGTAAACATATTGAGGAAAGTCTGTATGATCTGTTCAGTGAAAGGCACACCCATCTGTACTCTAAGGCCTCGAAACAAAGTGAGGAAAAAGCTCAGCATCTCATCAGTCACATCTAAACAAAGGGACAAAGCAAATGATCAGAGGCATGCACACAGGGATAATCGGAAGCCCTTGGCTTGACAGACTTCCTCATGCGGTCTGCATTATCATCTCTCTCTAAGGCTTCCTGCTGGAAGATATTTCCCCAACGCCATCAGAGCCAGCAATGGAAAGTAGAAAATGATTAAGGACATGCTGAGAACACAGCTCCAGCAAGCGAACCCCTCTGCTTGATGGCTCACTACAGGGAATGAACCCTCCCTCACCGCCCCGCCCCACCCCAAGCAACATTGAGAGTTTTCCCTGCAGACTGTTTTGCACTGATGAAACTATTCAATTGGGTCAACACCTGAGTGCTTTAGAGACTTCTGTCTATGACCAATAATCCCTGCAGCTGGGACTGGATTAGGTCAGGGGCTAAGTCGATAAAAGTGGATAATGAACTTGTATTCGGGTTGCACAGCCATAGCCCATTAAATGCATTAATTTCATAAAATAATGGTTCCATTTAATGTGGTACCACTTCCAGATCTAAACAATCATCTTGTACAGTATGTTCTGGCTCTAATTACACAAACTCTGCTTATAAGAGGCAATCAGTGAAACTTTGCTAAGAAGCCTCCAATATTTCTCTCATAAGACTGACAAGACTAGTGTAAGTGTTCACATGTAGCCACCGAGCTAGAGAGAGCCTCTGTCCGTGACAGTGACAGAGCAGGGCGAGGGGGCACCATGTCAAAACCCATCTTGCCATGTAAGTAAGAAAGAAGCACTTATGGGAAAAAGTTCTCTTTCTTCTCCTGTATAGTGCCCCCATTACTCTCAGCCATTTATGTTCCACACTGGAAGAAGGCAAAGCCTTAAAAATGAAAATGAGGCCAGTGACTCAGTGCCACCTGACACAGGTGTGAGGCCCGCAGGGAGGCTCCACGGGGCCCGAGCCCTAGACCCCACGCAAACCTCACTGCCCTCTGCCTTCAGTGTGAGGCCTGTGCTACTCCTGACCTGATGTGCTCTACGGAGCGGGGGTTCCCAACCCGCAGGCCCAGTGAGGTCCCATCCTATCCCCACCTGGCCCCAGGGAGGGGGACCAAACGAAACTCATCTGAGCTCCACCTCATCCATCCACAGCTGGTGTTAAGCTCCGCCTCCTGTCATGTTCCCCCACCCACCACCCCCTCATCTTCCACAAAAGCCGTCCCTGGTGCCAAAAAGGTTGGGGACCACTGTTACACAAAGTGACTCTCGTCCTTGTCAGCGCCGTTCATCAGTGAGGCCTGTGGCCAGCTCCTACCTGACTGATGAATAAAAGCTGGAAAGAGGGCCAGGGAGACCTGTACGGACTCCTGCAGTGAATGGTAGCAGATCTGTCGGGACTTGGTGGATTCCCCGGAAATATTCTCCACAATATCTTCCAAGACACTAAGTGTCTGGTGGATAATCACTTTGGCTGCAAATCAAGATTAAGCTGCATGTTAAGACTTGTCTGCGGATCAACAAGAATAAGAGGGACACACAGGAAGGAGGCGAAAGCTTCAGAGGTATTCGGAGGACAGTAACACAGACACTTTGCTAAAGAAACAGTTTCTCTTGATTGAGTTCTCTCTCTCTCCTTTTCTTCCTTTCCTTTTTATTTTTCCATTTTACTGTCAGAACTCTAGTTGCCTGCTAAGTTTTCCCCCCTCTATTCCACTTCTATCCATCAGAAACAAGTCTAGAGAGATCAAATGTAGCCTCAGGTTAGGTGCCTTGGTCTCAAGGCTAGAAAACAGTGAACAACTGTCACAGATAATTACTACAGGCCCGAATGCACACACACAGATCAAATGGTCGCCTTCAACTCCAAATGCAACTCTAGCCTGGACCTCCACACAGCGCCTGCCATGCACACTGGGAAAATGAATAAAAACTTCACGTTAGAATGGCGCTGGGAAGCCCTGAAGGGGAACTTCACACACATACCACTAGTTGCAGCCTTCACAACCGGCAGAAAGACGTTAAGAATTTGACAAGGGAGGTCACTTTTCACACAGGAATTTCATCTCCTGCTTTTAAAAAAAAGAAGATCCCTCCCTGCCCCAGCAACAATGCACTAACCACCACTTGCAGCAAATGAGAAACTGCCACAGCCCGAACTCTTGTTCTCCTACAACGAGCTCCAGTTCGAAGCACCCTCCACAGTTCCCTTTGGAAACCTAATAACGCTGTCCTTTGTCTCTCCAGACTTGCCTGTAGCTTGCTGCATTTTGCTTGTCCCAAATCGCCATTCTCTGCTATTCCTAAATAAACCCACTTTCCTGGTAAAATAACCTATTTTGTTTTTGAGGTGACACTATTTGGTGTCAGAAGTGGGATCCAAAGGATGCGAGCGCCTAGAACTGTGTGAGGTGCCCACTTGCGCGTTCTGTGCTCTCCACTCCCAGTTAGGTACACCTGTCAGACGCCAAGCTCCCTCCCTTTAGTTCAGCTGACTTTATCTGGGACCTATTTAAAGGTTTCATCCTTTCCATTTTTATCAAGACAGAAATGGAGTGTATGCACGGCATATACTGAAAACAGGAAAAACATGTCTGTTTATTACACTTTTATTTGTCACTGATATGGTTTTATATGTATACATTGGGCCAAAACATACACTGTATTTCTTGCTACAAAATGACCCAACAGGTCTGCAAGCTTCTGCTCTCACACCGGTGACCTGAGCAGACAAGCACCTGCACAGCCAGCTGAGCAGGCCGAGCCCAGAACAAGTGCTCTCCTGGGCTGCTCACACACAGTGCCGACTCAAGGCCAGGCCGCAGTCACTCTTCAATGGGTGTATACGTTGTTTGTTGCCCTGCCTTTTCAGATTTGTAGCCACATTTTTAAAAGAACTTCTCCATTCATTATAACTATTTGCAAGGCTGGGGATTCTGGTGGTGGCTTCCCAGATATTTATAACTCTGCCACCAGTTCAGAAGTTGTCCCACCTTTCAAATCTTTATTCTGCCTACTCAACAAAGAGCAATACTCTTCAGCAGTAATGTGGGGATCCTACTGCCCCTCTGTGTTCTAACCATTCCAAGTCTTGCAAAGACATGAATGAATCTCATACTGTAATCCCAAAAAGCATGTGGCTTACTTTAACCGTGTTACACAGAAGGCGTTTATGTCCATCTAACGCAAGCACAGGTGGCCCTCCTATCCACCCTGAATCTGTAATCACTCCGTACCAACCACTTCACACCATTTCTTTTCTAGGTAAGCTTCTGTCACTGTTTGAAATTGAGAAAATAACATTTAAACTAAAAAACCCCTGAAATTGTTGGGAAAAAAAGGTTTCTTACAAAACTACTAAAAGTAATAGGGATAAAAAAAATGACTATGTATGAAAAGTATAATGTGACCCTGGCTGGTGTAGCTCAGTGGATTGAACGTGGGCCTGCGAACCAGACAATCGTGGTTCAATTCCCAGTCAGGGCACATGCCTGGGTTGCAGGCCGGTTCCCTGCAGGCCAGTTCCCAGCAGGGGACGCACGAAAGGCAACCACACATTGATGTTTCTCTCCCTCTCTCCTTCCCTTCCTCTCTAAAGAAAAATAAATAAAGTCTTTAAAAAAAAAAAGAAAAGTAAATGTGTATTTTCAATAAAGAAGGCATGAGAAATGGAGATACAGTTTTTGGAAAGGAAAAATAAAAGGCAGTTTTGTCCTAGAGTAAAATGTTTATTCCAAAATAATTAAAAAGATAGGTCATAACCTAAATGGATATAAAAAGTTACAGAAGGTTAATAGAAAAGAAACCTCCAGAAAGGGATTTTATGTGTTGAACAGGGATTGGCATTCCAACAGGCAACTACATTTGCTTGTCCCCACACGCAATTCTCTGCTATTTATGAATAAGCCCATATTGCTGGAAAAAAAAAACTGGCTATTTTATTTTTGAGGGTGATAATATCTGCTGATGTGTTCAGGAATTAACTGCCTAATCTGTCCTTGGTCTACTGGGCCTGTGACAATATGTATAATCATAGTTATTATACCGTACTGTATTGTATGTTGTTGACGACATACAAGGTCTGTCCAGAAAAAGTCCAACCACTGTTAACGTAACAAGAATGGTTTACACAACATCGATGTGACCTGGCAGCCAAGGAGAGTGGACTGGAATGCACATGCGTGAACAATGACGACCTCACTGTGCTAATCAGTGGGGGCAGTAGATGCCGTTGGGTGAGCATGTGTACTGTGTGGCCATCACATCCGAAACGACTGAGCAGAGCAACAAATCCACATCAGATTTTGTGTTAAGCCTGAACATTTCTCCATGGAAACTATTCAGATGATTCAGAAGGCCACAGAGGTGGGCAACTGGTAATTAGCAGCTTCATTACCACGAAATGCGCCTGCTCATACATCACATCTCCTACAGGGTTTTTTTTGGCAAAACATCCAATCACCCAGGTGACTCAGGCCCCCTGCAGCTCACATTTGGCGCCCTGCAACTTCTGGCTTTTCCCAAAACTAAAATCACCTTTGAAAGCAAAGAGATTTCAGAATGTCAATGAAATTCAGAAAAATACAAAGGGGCAGCTGATGGCGATTAGGAGAACTGTGTGAGGTCTCAATGTGCCTACCTTGAAAGGGACTGAGGCATCACTCTCCTATGTACAATGCTTCTTGTATCTTCTTCAATAAATGCCTCTATTTTTCATGTTACATGGCTGGATACTTTCCAGACAGGTCTCATATGCTCCTAACGATACCCTGATGTATGAGCTCACTGGATGACCCCACATAGCACACAGGGAAAAGAGAGGCGGTGGCTAGAAAATAGGCAGGAGCTCGGAAGAAACGGCAAGGGACCGGATCAGAGGAGCCTGGATGCGAACGGCAGGTGGCTACTAGGTGGCCATACAACTAGGCAGGGTCCTTGTCAGTCCACGGCGGACAGCCAACAGCCCTGCCTTTGCAGGCTGCCATTAAGATCAGAGACAAAGTTCAGAGTAATTGTAACAAAGTGTCTGTACATCAGGAGGCCCCCCCCCGAGAGGAGAAAAGGTATCATCCTCCCCCAGCTCCTCCCCTCAGACACTGCTTCCCAAAGAAGCCTGTGTGGCCCAGCCAGGGCTCGGCAGCCTCAGCCCAGCAGAGCTCCGAGAGCTGAGCTACCAGAGCTGAGCGCCGCTGGGCCACGCTCTCTGGATCACCCTAACCCCCAAGCCCACCAGTCTCTGGGGCCTGAAGAGGCTCCCAGGGAAGTGTACAGCAGAAGAAAGAGTCCATGCTTTGGAAGTGGGTGGAATCAGGTTTGAATCCTGACTCTGCTACGCTCTGAGTCTCAGTTTTCTCATCTGAAGATGTGGACAGATAACACTACCTCTCTCACAAGACTGAGCGAGAACGAAGATAACAGCCCACAACAGGCCTCACCCACTAAAGGCCAGTCAAGGGGCCGTTGGAAGGTGAACAAAGGGCACATACCGCAGATCAAGGAGCCACTCATTCGTAACTACTATAAACACAGACGCTATTACAGAGCTGGGTGACTGCACGGGGGCAGACATTTCCCCAAGGATACACAAGGCTCGGGGAAGCCGTTTAAGGGGGAAAGGCCAAGAGCTAAGAAAATGTGACCTCTGATGTGTATGGAAATTAAAACGTACGTACAAGTAAAACACTGAAAGCACCACTAAATACATAGAAATAGAATAGGTATTGTGTTACTTCCATAGGTTAGGATATCATAGAATAACTAAAAACAATGCTTTAAAGAAGAAAGGGGCAATGTGGCAAAAGCAAGGATCTGGAGCCATCCAGTCCCGCGTCTCACTTCTTCCCCCAATGCTTCCTTTGACCCTGAGCAATGCACACCTGCCAGGCAGGCAGGGGTGGGGGTGGGCATATCTTTACAATGGAGAGGTGGCGTGAAACAATGCAATAGGAAGTACGTACCACTACCAAGGTGGTATTCCTGCCCCAAATCAATTGCTGGAAACAATCAGAACAAGATTACAGGACTTTCTACCAAGAAAAAAGGGCCTGGATCTGGACTCTTCAAAAACATCAACGTTGTGAAAAAGAAAAAGCAGGAATGCTTTTCCATATTGTAAGAGATTAAAGAGATGTGGCAACCAAATGTAACACATGACCCTTGACTGTATTCTGGATTTTTAAAAGCAAAACAGGGCATTTTGGTAATGACTATGGAAAACCTGGACATGGCCTGTATGTTAATTAATGACATTATTGTAACAATATTACACAGCTTGGTTGTGGTGATGGTATCTTAGTTGTAAGAAAGAGTACGTATGTTTTAATTTCCATACACATCAGAGGTCACATTTTCTTAGCTCTTGGCCTTTCCCCCTTAAAGGTTAAATATTCAGGAATAAAGTGTCAATTTGCAACTTTAAATGCTTGGTTGGAAAGTATCTATGAGTGGGGAAAAACACAAATGTGGAAAATATTAACAACAAAAGATATATAGTTGCTCATTTTCTTATTCTTTCAAGTATTCTGTAGGTTTGAAAAAATTCTCCAAGTATAAAGTTGGGCTAGGAAAAACTTTCCAGACCTTCATCATATCACTTAAAGAATGAGGATACTAAGACATATCTCACAGAACTCAGGGAAGATTAAATGAAGTACATAAAATTCTCAGCCAGTGCCAGGCACACAGTAAACAGTCAACAAATGTTAACTATGTTTTTTCAGTGTTTTACTTTATTTTAAAAGATTTTATTTACTTATTTTTAGACAGATGGAAAGGGAAGGAGAAAGGGAGGGAGAGAAACATCAGTGCGTGGTCGCCTCGAGCGCCCCACACTGGAGGCCTGGCCCACAACCCAGGCATGTGCCCTTGATAGGGGACTTAAGAGTTGGAAATTTTAGTTTAAGGTAAATAGTTATAAGCCTAGTAAATAATGCATACGTTAAAGCTTTTGTTTCAAACAAACCCTACAGATAAGGCCGGTCCTGGGAGAAACAGCCGACCTCCTGGGGCCTGCTAAAGACCACCGCCTGGGGACGAGTGGAGGCATCCGGGCCCCTGTGTTCCAGGGAGAGAGAGACGACTGTCCATCCATCCCTGGGAACAGCCAACTGCCCGGGGGCGGAATGCTGCAGTCTCTTTCATCTAACTCTCCCTGAACTTCAAAGCCCCTCATCACACCTTGTTTATTCCATTATAAAAAAGTTGGCCTGGAGAGAAAATGTAAGATGGTCCGTTTGGGTGCAAACCCGCTGCCCTCTCAAATCACCGGCCATCTGAATAAAGCACCCATAGAGATTCAAACTCTGTCTCCACTTACTCGGTTTGGTAAGTGACAGGCAGCACAAGCTCTGGTATCTTTTCCAGTTTCACCCTAACTGGGCATCGAACCTGTGACCTTTTGGTTCACAGGCCGGCGCTCAATCCTCTGAGCCACACCAGCCAGGGCAGTTAACGATGCTTTTAATTACATTCACTGTGTACATCATTAATGTTATTCGGCAAATCTTTCCAGAAGATGGTGGCATCACACTTTCCATCCTTGCTGAAATCATACCACGGCCATGTAAGCACATGCTCTGGCCAACAAAATATGTATGGAAACGGTTACTTCTAGGCAAGACACTTTCCCAGTGTGAGCACAGACGGAAAAGGACCCTTCATAAGCCTGGGGCCTTGAGTGGCTAGAATGAGCAGGTTCTACCCAAACACTGACCCCAGCTAGACATGTGGTGCCAGTAAGAAATAAATGTTTTCCTGCACTAAGCTACTAGGCTTTTGGGATTATCGGTTACACGCAGCATAACCTAGCCTACGCTGACTAGTACAGTGCATGTGAGGTACAGTGAGTAAAGAAGGCCATTGACCTTTATAAAACATGGTTATATAATAACTGTATGTCCCCTCCGGGCAAGTTACTTCATCTTCCCATACCTTAGTTTCCTCACGGACAAAATCAAGATAATTCACAGTACCTAACTCATAGGCTGATAAGAGAATCAAATCAATTACTGAGTGTAAAACACTCAGGATCAAACACCAGACACTGGTGGCCGATGCTGGCATAGCCAGAGATTTGATGATGGGAGATCACCAGCACTTGCCCTTACATGGAATCCCTCGGTAAGCTAGCCATTCTTATTCAACTATAGAACTGTAAAATATATTTAAAAGACAAAATAGTTAAAATGGTTACTTTGTAAAATAGTAAAGTTGGTGAGATTTAAGTTTCTCTTTTCTTCTTTATACTATTCTAATATTTTTGTGTAATGAGCATATGTTAATGCTCCTAATTATAAAATGTTTTTAAATGTTGTATATTATTGCCATGTCTAACGTCTCAAAAGTATTTTTTAATAGTTTTTTTTTAAGATTTTATTTATTTATCTTTAGAGAGGAAGGGAAGGAGAGAGGGAGAGAAACATCAATGTGTGGTTGCCTTCTGTGAATCCCCTGCTGGGAACGGGCCTGCAACCCAGGCGTGTGCCCTGACTGGGAATCGAACCTCGATCGTCTGGTTCGCAGGCCAGCGCTCAATCCACTGAGCTACACCAGCCAGGGGTTTCAAAAGTATTTTTGTTGACATTCTAGAAATAATATCAGCCTGTAATGTCCCATTGTTTTCTTATTGTGAAAACAGACTGAATTTTTATTTTATTTTAGAGAGAAGGAAGGAAAGGAGAAAAAGAGGGATAAAACATCAATGTGAGAGAGAAACAGCGACTGGCTGCCTTCTGTGCGCGCCCAGGCCAGAGACGGAACCCGAGTCCTAATCATGTGCCCTGACTGGGATCGAACCCACACCCTCCTGATCTGTGGCATGACCAACCTACTTAGCCATACCAGCCAGGGCAATTGAGTGTATCTAAAAAATGTATCTATAATAATTATTTCAAGAAGATTTTTCAGAGAAATCTGATACCTTCTCCTTGAACTACTGCATTCTCTTTGATTCATTTTTTTCTCCACTTTAATATAAACAACCAAACTTAAAGTGCTATATGTGAAGGTTTCAAGCTCTTTCAAAGCCTCTGAAATAGCTGTTATTTGGAGAAAGGTTAAATGCAGTTTCAAAGAATAATTTTTACGTTCTTTTTTTCTCAGTGTGTATAGGTAAAATTCCTTGCTTACGTAAGTATCAGAAAGAGATAAATGATCACTGCAGGGTTGTTTTTTTTTAATCCTATGGCACCATCAACAGTGCCTTCAATAAACATTTTTATTTTTTACATTCTAAATTAGAGGTGGGGCATCCTGCATTCAGGAAACGGGTCTAGCCGATGTATTCATGGAACTTCACAGGTAAGTGGGGTCTCTCCCACGCCCCAACCTGGCTCTTCCACTTAGCAGCTGGGTGACTATGGACATATTAATTCACCATGTGAGCCTCGGGTGCAAATCTCATCAGTCACAAAGGAAGAACAATGCCAGACCTACCAATCTCCCTGCAGTGTCCCTTCCCAGGGGCCACTTACTATCATCCGGTGGCATCTTCCTCTGTGGGGCAATAGCACTGGATTTCAGGTTGCGATAGTCCCGGGAAAGCGCAGAGAGGAGGCTAGCATGGTTGATGGAGCGTACAGGCCACTGCTGCTCATTCTCTGGGAGGTTTGGCCACGGAAGCAGCAGAATGTTAGAGAGTGCTCGGCACACCAGCACCTGAGCCTGGAAGACACCCCAAAGGCATCTATGGTAAAAATTCAAGAGCAACAGACAGCACAGCAGTCATGCCTCACACAGACTTTAGCACCCACCGCACACAATGAGTTCAGGCCTCCAGGCTCCTTTCTTACATATAACCTGGCTTTGGTCCAACTCGAAGGCAACCCAGGGAGGAAAAAAGATATTGAAGCAGTAACACCAAGTCTGGGTCTAGCACAACCCAGAGCCAGACTCAATAATTACTGCTGGTGCCATCACTTTCCCTCTAATCTGGTACTTGCAGAATCACAGAGGGAGGAATCACAGATGCTGCAGACACTGAGTCTAACTAGTCTCCCTGCTGTCGGCTTCGTACACCCTCTGAGGAGCTACTCAGAACAGGGCTGTTCAGAGAATGCCTCATAATCAAGGTGCCCTTGGCGCCAGCTCAGAAGTAATACATTCTGATCCAGGTGCTCTTAAGAAATTGCTTTGACTCCCCCTCTAACTCCAGCCCTGTTCTGTTCTAAACTTCTAACCTGAGCTTCCTAGGGAGAATTTAAGAGAATATACTTATCTGAAGCCATCTCAACCCTAAGAAAACAAACATACAATAAAAAAAGACTTTTAAACCAAAAAAATGCAAAGACTCTCACACCAGCCAAATCACCAGCTCTCAAAGCAGCACAAGCTTCACCTCAATACATAGAACAAGTTCAATTAAAGTAAAAGCAGCACAAGCTCTCTCTGTGTATTTTGTCTGGCTCCACACGCTGACTGGCCACGTCGGGAAGGACGTTTACAAGAGAGCACCGAGGCTGCGTCAGTGCCTCACGTGTAGGAAAGCCTTCCGTGCTGGCGAGGCCTGTAAGTTCTGTGTGCAAAAACAAGAGCCAGAGCCACACAACTCTGGTGACTGCAGGGCAACGCCAGAGCCTCACCTTATCGACAAGTCGCTGGGCAGAGGCATCGGTGATTCTGTTGAATATTTTCTGCACTGCAGGGATGCTGATCAGAAAGACAGGCCTCACGGTGGTGGCCAGTGAAACCAGCAGGTGGCAGGCAGATAGCAGCAGCTTGTCTTGGACCTGACGAGGGAAGAGCACAGACATGTCAGCTCACTGTAGACCCCTGTATGGGAACTCTGACGAGGCGGCCACAAGCTGAATGTGGTTCCTGGATGCCGAAGCCTACCACGTAGGCGCTACCTCAAAGTTTTCCTATGATGACACCCATCAGAAAGCATCTCCTTTGTCATGTCCACAACTCCTGCCGTCCAGCCGGGACTGCCACCTCCAGTTTCTGTTCAGAGTCACCAGCATCTCCGAACTCCCTTTTCAGCTCAAGAATCAACAGTGGTTCCCAATCAGCTCAGAGACCTCATGGCAAACTCCCTGGCCTGTCATCCAAACAACTGAGGACTGTCCATCTCAACCCTCTTGCTCCAACCGAGCCGAGACCCCTCTCTCTCAGCCCCCACCTTGGCACTCCTCCTACCACGCCAGGCTCTACTTTCTTCACCTCGACATGCCACTCAAAAACTGGATTCAGGTATCATTACATCCTTTCAAACAGGCAAAACAGAGGACTTCTTACAGACAGGACCTAATGCTGGTAAGATCACGATGAAAACAGCACACACGATAGAGCTGTTCAGGAAAGAAATATTACTATAATTTCCTAGAAACACAAACTATCCCTACACTTTGACTCTATAATCCCGTTTATTCTAAGGAAACTACCTAAAAGGATAAAGTTACACTAGTAAAACACATGTTTTTCAGAAGTATTTGTAATGACTTATTTCAAATGGCAGTTATGAAAGTTATGAAAGGTCCAGCAATGGACATGTGTATACGAAACACAATTCCCTCTCCATGGGATATTATTTATAAATTGCAATTTTAAATGCAACATAAATTTATGGAAAATAAGACATTATCCTGTCAATAGTGCTACAGAATACTACATATAATTAAAACCAAAAAAAAAAGAAAGAAAAACAAGCATTTATATGCTTTATTAATACACACTGGTCTTCTTGAAGGAACTTAATAGAACCTATTGAAGTTTATGTGGATATGACCTTCAACCCAGCAATCCATCCTGCAAGGATCTAATTTCCATCAGTAAGAAAATTACAATACATCCCACTACAGAATAACATCGGGCAGCTTGAAAAGCTGAAGTTGCTTTGCACTTGTGAAGGTTTCAAGAGCACACTGTTAGGCAAAAGGAGCTGTACGTCCAGCCATCTACACACTCTTACTCATGTCTGTAACAGGAGAGTCACGTCTGAAGGACAGACCACCAAGTGCTGACAGTGCTTGGTGTAGAAAAGGAAAATGTTTTAGAGGAAGGGATTAAAGAGTACAAATACTTTCCAGTCTATAAAACTGAACCCTATTTTACTTTTTCACAATGACCATGTATCATGTGGGATTTAGAGAACTAAAAATATAAAGTTATATTTGCATTTATGTGGACTACACCTAAAAAGAACTTGAAATGGGATGTAGCTGTATTACGGTAGTAGTGGATCTAATGCTATGTAATATTTGGATTTGATAATAAACGGGTATATGGACAGAAGGACAGACACAGTTAGACAAAAGGTGTAGCCTTTGCTGTTTCAAGACCTTGGTGCTGATTAGAGGTGTGACTGCGTCCATGGTAGTGGAGATGAGCGTGAAAAACTGCTGCGTGTTCTGCCGATGCGCTTCACTGCAATACTGTGCTAACCAGTGCGAGTAAGCCTGCAGAGCGGCCAGGGACTGAGCATGCCTGCAAAAGGGAGAGAAGATGCGATTTTAAAGGTTAAAGTCAAAGTATATTAGAATTAAATGTGATTCCATAAGAGGTAAAAATTCCATCCACTGCATTTACTGTTCCAGGATCCGTCCAACAACATAGGAACCACTTACTTGCTCATGTTAGACCTTAAAATTGAAACTTGTCATCTACATATTGCCACCACTGCCCAGAACACAAAAGGGAGTTAGTGAAATGTCTATCAGCTATTATTCAATCTTTCTGTGACAGACGTAAGCATCCCTGAGAGAATGATCAATGAAACAAACAGAACCAAAAACCCTAAGATATAACTAGTAAAAATGTTAACATCCACAGCTGCAGACCAAGGTGGAGATAGCTACCAGGTGTTACAGCTTTATAAACACACTTTCATGGAAGAGTCTCCAGCTTAAGCTTCCATCACACCATACATTGTATCTGGCTAAGGGGCAACTGTGAAGGTGACAAAGAGTATTTGGTTTCTACCAATTTTGTATTGCATTATACAGGCAACAAAATATACATCATAAAAGCTCAGGATTCATCAGAGATATTAACACATCTGAACAAAGTGAGGCAGCTGTCTCAGAGCACAAAAATGTAACCTACTACCTACTACTTCCTACTAACCCCAAATGTAATTTCTCCCTTTCCTATGGACAGTGTTACCTCTGTGAGGTGACACTTTGACACTATGGAAATATCCTGCTCCCAAAAAACACCCATGGTTTTGTCACCCACTGAGGACTCCTGCCCAAGTCATTACCACCAAGGTGACTGTAAACAGGTGATTTTTCTATCTTTCCTTTTCTGTTCGTTAGCTGGCACTCTTCGGTAAAAAAGAGCTTTCCCTCTTTGTTTAAACCACTGTGGATACGTGGATTCTTACATTCGATGTTATAATCCATTATCGTCCTTATTCTTTCTTGATGATCACATTATGGACTCTGGGCAGGACAAACCCTTTTAAGCCAGCCCCGATGTCCTTTTCCTGTGTTCCCAACATCCCTGAGCACGTCCCTCCTCACCGGCTCAGCACGATTTCCCAGGATCACCCTGCCCCAAGCTTGGAATGTCTCTCCAAGGAGCGCTGGTTCCTTTTAGTGGAGACCGAGCCTGGGCACTAGGGTAGCACTGCTACTAGAGGTCATCACCCCTAAGGCCTTTCAGTGAACGGCACTGGAACAGAGGCAGATGCCACTTTAAAATCAAACTTGGCATCAACAGATAGAGGGCAAACTGATCTCAACTGCCGCCAGACTGATGCAAGAGGAAGGACACACCAGCACCTATGCAGTGTTCTTACTAAAAATGTTTAACCTCAATCTAATACTACAGTAGAATAAAAATAACCAGACAAATCCAGATTTTTAAGATTTGCTTTTAAAAAAATTTAAGAGCTGAATCTCCAAAAAGTCGGTCTCTGTCCGTCCTCCCGCCCTATTTCCATTCCTCCTCCCTGCAACATGCACAGTTGGGAGAACTTTCTGGATTATAAGAGAAAATTTAATTTGTGATTCATAATTAGGCTTTGGATTAAAAAGAAAATACAAAGGACATTCCTGGGATAATTGGAAAAATTTGAACATGGGATATACATACGTGTGTGTGTGTGTGTGTATAGTCCTCCTCTCAAAAATATTGGGTTGGCCAAAAAGTTCATTTGTTTTTGTCCATAAAATGGCCCTAGTAGCACTTAGTTGTCTTTAACTTCATTTGAAACAATTTTGTTAGACTGTATTGTGACAGCTGTCATATCAGCATGCATTAAAAAAAAAACTTATCAAAATTGGTAAATTTTTGTGTAGCCATTTTAATACTGACGATGAAAGAAAATAGGCAACATTTTTGGCATATTATGGTTTATTATTTCAAGAAAGGTAAAAATGCAACTGTAACATACAAAAAAAGATTTGTGCAGTGTATGGAGAAGGCACTGTGACTGACTGAATGTGTCGATAGTGTTTTGCGCAGTTTCGTGCTACAGATTTCTCAATGGGCGACGCTCCACGGTCAGGTAGACCAGTTGAAGTTGGCAACGAGCAAATCAAGACAGCAACTGAGAACAATCAACATTATACCACGTGGGGATAGTCAACAGACTCAAAATATCTAAATCAATAAAGTTATTGATGAAAATGAAAACATATCTTTATTTTACAGAAAAAAAATAAATGGGCTTTCTGGCCAACCCAAAATTGGATGACACGGCTGCATGCATGACCAGCTGGAGTGCTGACAACGGTATTATTGTTACATGAAAGAATGGCTGACCTTGTTGCTAAGAGACACATGCTAAAGAGTTTATTGGTGAAGTGACATACTGTCTGCAATTCATTTTCAAACAGATCACACAAAAAATGTATGTGTATATACAAAGAGAAAGCACAAGTAACAAGAGCAAATGTGACATTTATGATTGGTGAGTCTAGCTTAAGCGTATAAGGGTGTTCATTGTATTTTCCCCCTTTGCTACAGCTTTGAACTTTTTCAAAGAGGTTAGCTAAAACAAAGTATTTAAAGTAAACAAATACAGATACTGAGAGTCTAAAATTCCCAGTGACCAGGAAGTTATTTTGTGTTTGCTATTTAGAATCCATTGATCTCTTTAAGTTTTGAGTACCAAAAAGAGGAAGAACATCAAAGTCTACCTTTAGAGTCTAAGAATCTCAGCTAATCTATCAAATTTACAGAGCTCTTTAAGGCTAAAAGGAAGGGCTCTGCAACTTCCTGAAATTGTGGATAAGGTACTGTGTTTATGAGCAAATTAGCACTTTTCTCAGGAGAAGCTTCACAGCTTTCTTTGAATTTTCAAAAAGGGAAGCAGTATTTTAAAAATGTAAACTATCATAGTTTAAAAAAGTCTCTATCATTTATCTAATTTGCAGCTCAAGAATGTTCTAGAACAGAGGTCAGCAAATGTTTTCTGTAAAAACCAATATACATATTTTAGGCTTTGCAGGTAACATACCCTGTCACAACTACTCAGCTCTGCCACTGTAGTACTAAAGCAGTCATAGACAAAATGTAAATGAATAGGCATGGCTGTGTTCCAATAAAACTTTATTTACAAAAGCTGGCAGTGGGCTGGATTTAGCATGGGACATCATCTGCCAGCCCCTGCTCTAGTCTAGAGTGTGCCTCCTAGGCAGGGTGATCTCTGGGTTGTGGTCCCATCTCTAGTCCCCATTTCTCTATCCCACTGATTTCCAACTGGTGCGCTGCAAGAATCTTTAAAACATGCAGTACCTGACTATTCAGTCAGAGGCACTGATCGCTCTCCCCTAAGACTGTCAAATTTTTAAAAATGACAACCAACATAACAGTAGCTGTCCAGGGTGATCAGCAAAATTTTAGTAATTAGTTTATGTGTACCATGAGACTGAAAAGGTTGAAAATCGCTGCTCTATCACTTCCATATGTCACTTTCCTAATGGCTTCCCACTATCTATAAAGTTTCTCGAAGTGTGGTCCCTGGATGTCTTGCTTCAAAAAATCACCTGAGGTTCCTGTTTAACATGCAAATACCAGAGCCTCATACCATCCTCTATCACCAGAACCTCTGAGGGAATGTGTTCCCCACAGAATTCGTCTGAACACTAGAGTTTCAGCCTCTTCCACAGGACAAGAGTCACGGCCCTCAACGTGTTTCCACTTAAGTCCCAGCACGCCTATCAGCCCCACCTTCTACCACACGAACCGTGCACCACTTTCCCGACTAAGTGACTTGGCAACTCTGTCTCCGCTTGTGCTGTTCTTTTCTCCTGAAATACCTACCCACATACCCTCTCAGCTCCTGTCGGCCTGATGAGTTCCCCCGACTCCAGCCACCCTGCCCCCACAGTCAAACAATCTTTCTCCTTTTCTGCGTTTGGTGGTGCGAGTTTTACTCTTCATGGCAGCCACTACTGTGCCTTTTTATCTATAAAATTATTTGGAGCTGGAGGACAGGTCTTTCTTGAGAACGCACAAACATATAAACCTGTACTTACACATCAATGAGATCGGGTTTCAACACTGATGGCACAGCAGTTTCGATGTTGTACAATTTTATCTGAGATCCATACAGAGTGACTTTGACTAACCTGTTAGCAAAGAAGCAGGTAAGAAAAAAACATTCAGTCGTGAACTAAAATCAGACAAAATGGACAAGGTACCAACCAACAAAGGTCCCAAGAACAGAGACCAGACCTTCAATCTTATCCCAAAGACATGATCTGACCCATGTATAAAGATTTATATACAAAGATAATAACTAAACCATTATAGTATCAAAAAATTTTGAAAATATAAATATCCAACACAGAATATACTATAATATGCTATAAACAATAAAATGATCACAATGAAAAGTTTTGTTATGCGGTCTTCAGTAAAATTTGGGAGAAAAAAGTAAGTTTCAAAGAAAATATGGCACTGTGGAAGTCCCATAATGGCTTTATTATGTATTACCTGTATAATTTTTCAACTTCTCTGAAAATGTTCATGATAAAATACTGAGGTGGAAGTGGCAAAAATGTCTAGAATTAAATTGAGGTATCTTTAATTTCAAGCATAATTATTTCAGGAGCAAACTGCTGAACCCACTGTTACCCAAGGGCTCACTGTACACAAATGAGCATTAAACAGTAAGTAACAGCAAGCTCTATTGGGAAATGGAAAATGCCTCTTTCATTAGAGACAGACATTCCTTTATGAGTCGAGGGGAAAAAACTGGAGACCTGCCTAACTAAGTTCCCTCTGTGCCTATTCCTTAAGAAAACTGAGACAGGCGCCAGGGAAGACAGCATGTACTTTTCTCTCCCAATTTAATGGTGCAGAGGTTCTCCAACTTTGAGCCTAAGCATCAACTGGGGAACCTGTTACAAATGCACACTCCCTGGTACTACACCACAGACCAATGATGCAGCTGTGAGGAGGTCTCTGGAAATACCCATCTCTGAAAAGCATCTGAGGCTCTGATGCATGTGAACCATACTCTGAAAAATGTTCCTCTCTGATGCAAAGGAAAAAATAGGACTTCGTTAGAAAACTATAAGATTGGGTCAAATTATTTCAGGCTGGGGAGCAGAGAGAAAAGGGCATTTCCAGTCAGTCAAGAAAATGAGGGTGAAAGAGCCAATGGTTGCCAATTGCAGTTCTAGGAATGGGGAGAGGCGGGATCACTGGAAATCATACCAGTTACTATTGGTAAGCAAAACACCAATGTGTACCTGGTACCTAATTCTGTTCTACCTTCTTTAACTTCACACAGTCAGTGCAGTTCGCAGGCATTCTACACATGTACATTGGGCAGCCATTACCAGTGTCCATCTCCAGAACTTTTTTCGTCTTCCCAAACTGTAATTGTACCCACTAAATATTAACTCTCCACACTCCCTGCCCCCAACCCCTTGCTACCATCATTCTTTTTCTGTCTCTATGGGTTTTACTGCTCTAAATATCTCACATAGGTGGAATCATGTAGTATTGGACTCTACATTCTGTTTTTACATCACGCAGCATTCTTTAAGGATGTTCATCACTAAAAATGGACTTCTAAATGTGTCTTAATATTTCTATGTTTAGCAGTTTTATTATTAGGTTTGTTTTCTGTAACCTACAAGTTGAAACACTGCTAATAATCACACTGGCTATTTATTAAGATCATGTAGGCATAACAAGGAGCCTCCTCTCACACTTCATTTTAAATTCAAGAAAAAGTAGCTGAGTATCTTTAGTACAGAGCCTACAAACCTAATCAGTGCAGAAAGATATGTATGAGAGGACCGCTAAAATAGCCATTCAGGATTTGTGGTCGATCATCTCACTATGAAGCTGAGACGACTGATGCGTGTGTATATTATTGCTCAAGTATAAATTTTAAGAACATGGATTTCAGACAGTAAGACATGTTCTATACATGCTAACCTTCACTGGGAATGGGCCTAATGCAAGAACAGGAAACAGGATTCTGGAAGCAGAAGCTCTGTGGTGTAGAAAGAGGGCAGTTTTGAGACTCAGGAAACTGGTTGAAGTCTATGTGCTCCCTCTGAACTGCATGACCTGAAGCAAGTCACTCACCCTCTCTGGGCCACACTTCACCAAGAAAGTGACAACACCTGTCCCTCAAAGTACAGAAAGAAATAAAATGTGAAAACCCACTTCTAAAAATTTCCTACTGTACTACTTCCTTTGATTAGTAATCAATTCCTTTGAGTAGTAATCAATTTCCTTTGATTACTACTATTAATCTGGCTTTTAAAGATTTATTTAAAATTCTTAGTTACCTCTGCTTTTAAGGTAAGAGTAACAGTTAAATAAAATCCGGTATGCAAGTACTGTGGCATGGGGCTCCATTTCCTGTTCAGGGTGTTTCCAACGACATGGCTACCGGGCCAGTAAAGCCTCAGGTGTCTTGACTTTGGGCTGGGCCCACCCCTACCCAGCTGTGATCTAACCAACTCACCAGTTACTGTGAAACACCCGGAACCACACCTGTCACTTACATTACAAGGGCAGGGCTTTTTAAGTGTACGAGTTTGTGAGTGGGGAGGTGGGGAGGACCAAGCAGTATAAAATGGTTCTTAACAAACACAGTTGAGAACCTAAGAAGGAAAGAAAGGAGCTTGGTGGTGAAAAGGCTGGGACCCACTTCTCAGGTCAGGCTTGGAGGCTGCCCTGGTTTAACTCCTTAGGACCCTAATGGGACTAGAAAAAAGTCCTACCGTAACATGACTGAGGAAAATTCCACTTCTGAGAGCTGGCAGCCTACTTGGATAGTGTCTCCTGCCTGCCTTTTGTTAATTACTAGGGCATTCTAATGCCTCTTTACCCTATGAGGAAAGACATGAAGATCGACCTCACCTGGTTTCTCCTGAGGCGAATCCTGTCTTTACATCTATTACAAGATCTTCAATGAAATGACATACTATATTCACTGTCTGCTACCTGCTAGGCCTGGCGCTAAGTGACTTATCTCATTCAATTGTCCCAATAAACCTGACGATACGATCTACTCCATTTTACAGACGAGGAATTTGAAGTTCCGAGAGGTCAAATAAAAGCTCCCCATTTAGCGTATATATGCAGAGCCTTGGTTTACCTAGTGCCAGCGCAGAAGCTAGCTGGCCATATGCCACCCCTCACACCCGGTACAACTGAGCTCTGAAGAGGAAATGGCTCCACGCTGTACGTGCCAGCCTACCTCTCCACGACTGTGAGTGCATTGCTGAACCGCGCAGCAAACACGTCTCCGATAAAGTACTCGGCCAACCGGCCCACAGCCTGCAGCAGGGAGCTCAAGTCTCTCAGGGAACAGTGCAATCGCCGGCAGTCATTCTCTGCTGTGATGTTCAACCTGTGCCCTGGAACAAAACACCTCAGACGGTTTTTCACAGAAAGAACACACTTTGGTTACAACGATAAATAACAGCTCATCCAGGCAATCTACATTTAGCAAAACTAATCCTTGAAACATAGCAACCCACAGGCTGCTCCCCCAAACCAAGCAGGAAAAGCGGGTACACCTAACACGATACCCACATGCACTCCAGAGCTGGATGGAGAGAAGGACAGCAGAGGAAGCGGGACAGACAGCCTGGAGTGTGCTATCATGGACCACACATCTATCTGATTCCTCCTGACCCTGTGAAGGACTGATGCCCCTAATTTTACATTCAAGACATCCCCAAGCAGGTCCAGTGACTTGCTCAATATGGGTCATATTTCCTGAGCAGACCCGGTGTCCTAGGCTCAGTGTAATCACCCCCAAACTTGCTTGCCTTCTGCACATGGCCCCGCCACAGAACGACATCTCCATGGGCTGAGAGGCAGGATTCATCCCTGCCCGAAGAAAAGGGTGCCCTCAGCACTGAACCCCAGAATGGCTGTAGGAGCACAACATGAAACAGAGCATAGGACTGGGATTCAGAAGACAGACTCCCTGCCGCTTGCTAGCTCTGTGCCTCTGCAAGCACTTCTATTCTCAGCTTCCTCATCTTCAAAATGAAAGAAGCTATTATCTGACTATTTCAAGGACTAAGAATACATTTTAAAAACCTTGTAAACTATAAACCATTTTCAAAGTTGGTAGTAATTATGGAAAACAAAGAGCTATTGATCTTCTAAAGCCCAAAACTCTTACTTTTCAACATAATTTCTTCAGGCTAAGCAAGGAGGATGCAAAGATGAAGGACAAAAACATCCTCAATTCAGCACCTCCTCTGCCCCTTTGGCCCCTCTACCCACAAGGGTCCGTAAGCCAAGGAGAGGGCTCTAAGTCTGATAAAGCCCCCTCACCCAGCAGGAGGGAGGGCAGTAACACTCAGATCACTGCCCACCCAGCGCCTGCAACCCCCACGACTCCCCGGACCCTTTTCAAGCTTGCTCCCTCTGCTGCCACTATAGGCTTTTATTCTGTTAGGAGGCAAGAGCCTGACCGTGGTCATCACCAACCCTCCTCCTGGGGCACTCCACGAACATCTCCCCAGAACCCCGATCTAAGTACGCAGCTCTTCTAAGGCAAGGCATCAACCCTCTTGGGGCTCTCTCCAGCTAAAGGGGGAGGGAGTGAACTCCCAACTTCAACTCCAGATCTCTAATGACCACGCCTCCTCCTACCATTCGTTTTATCATCTGGACCCACTGATTATCCCCCAGACACCTTGGTGTCTCTGCCTGGACTGTGCATTTCATCCTCTGCCCACTGCTGCCCCTGCCTTGCACACCCTTACACACCCTGCAGACCCACATAAGCATTATGTCTTCTAGGAAGCTTTCCCTCCCTTCTCCAGACAGAGAGCCCATGCCTCCCCCTTGCCACCCCCCCCCTTCCTGCATTCCTCCAGGGCACCTCGTGCATAGACAGACATGAATAATGATTTACAGGTCTCCTCAGTGACTATCAAGTCCTCCATGATGAGGGGCCTCACCCACACCATGGGTGCGTATCAGTGTCTGAAACAACACAAGTGACCACAAATGTATAAATGACTTTAATACGGCAGAACAGAGAGAAAACTAGAGATGGAGCAGAAGGTGGAGTCTCGGCAGCTTCATTCTCTCACACTGCCCTTGGGAATACTCACTTTAGTTTTAAAAGGTGAATACAGATAAGCAATACCTAAGGGGAGAAAGCCAGCAAAGCTGAACACCTATGGAAAAGGTGGTGGATAAAGTAGCAAGTTTGATATCTCAGACCCTATGCTGACTCATTCCAAGTGATGAGTCTGGGAGCAGAGCGTTGGACGGCCTCTAACAGATGACAGAAGACTGGATAAGGGGACGGAGGCTCTGACCTGGCACTGTCACGGTGAGTCACATCCCAAGGATCAGAAGAACAAAAGGAGGGGGCAGCTCAAGGAAGGGCCTTGTAAGGAGAGAGCCAGTGACGAAGGCCGATTCTGACTACTCCCCAGTTGCTCGTTCCTCCCCCCTACACTCCTCGTGGAGAAGTGCAGAAGACAGGACCATCAGCCCGCGGGCAGCCCCGTGAGGCCACGAGAGTGGGTGTCCAGAAGAGTGAGCCAGGTCCACAGTCGGAGCACAAGGAGGACCATCCAGGCTGCCAGCCCGATGAGCCCACGAACACACAGAACCGAGAGATACCTCTGGTCACGCTGGGTCACATGAAAAGGAACACTGCCCCTCTCCTCGTCTCCAGGTTGACAAAAGGAGCACAATTATGCACCTTCTAAATGTTCGGATTTTCAGGGTTACAACTAGGTAACCGACTCCCAGGATAAATTTCTAAAACCCGCTGTTCCTCCGCATGCCAGCCAAGCCTTAGGACTCTGTGGGAAATAAACCCTTATGAACAATACACCTGGGAAACTGGATGTGGGGGCACGGGCCGGAGAGATGAGGCCAGCTCGACTTTCAAAGAGCCATGTGGGCGGGCTGTGAATTAGTATCAGCAGCCCCTCACACTTCATGTAGGCACCCATCTTCATCTTCCACGCAGCTCTACCCTGATCACTGGTTTTCAACTTATTGTTGTACTTAACACCTAGAACTAGGCACTCTTAGATATACCTGAGAACTAGGTTCTTAAATATTTTAAGCATGGAGGGAAACACTGTTTCTCTTTTAGAAATCAAAACAGTATCCCAAACCAAGTTTCCATTTGAGTGCAGTCCCTAACAGTCATTAGGCAGCTTAAAAGCTGTCCTGCCCAGGCCTGCCCCCCTGCCACCGTGTCTACCAAATGCACCTGATGCATGCCCTTCCCCCGCCCTTCAGCCTTTTCCTGGACACCTCAAATGGATGCCGGAGAGCCCAATGCCTCTCTGAGGGAGCCTTCCACCTCTGAACCGCTTGGTCAACAACACGGGAGATCTGTCTCCCTATACACTCTTCCTTATTACCCCCTGTCCGTCTCCTGAAGGGTAGAATACACAACAAGCCTAAGCCTGACGACACAGCAATCTTGGACAGATGTGAAGACAGGGTAATGTTCTTGCAACTCTCCTGACTGAAATACACCTCTGGGTGTCCCTTCCATTATTACCCATGTTACCCTTCTTCTGAGAATCCCTGCAATCTTGGACATACCCCTCCAAACTTGCCCTAATTTGTCCAAAAAAGAGCAGCACCTACAAAGAAAAACCACCCAGAACTGCTGTGGGTGTGTTTATTAAAATATTCGTTTGAACCATATGAAATTCTGGTATTTGAGCATTTCTGACCTAACAAAACTGCAATTCCATATAATTCAACTTAACACCTATGTGCCATCTAAGGTGCATGTTAATCAAAACTGCAGCTGGTTCCTTCCTGCTCTACCTGCAAGGCAGACAAACACAGGCATTAAGCACCACTAACCCAAGTGCCCCCCACCTCCTCCCCTCACCTAGAAACCCCATACCACCACCACCACCACCACCACCACCACCACCACCACCGCCAAACTGCACAAGGCACCACCTCAGCTTGAGGAGGGAAGCTAGTGTTCCCACAGTACAAAGCTGTTCATGTCCACCCATGTTTTCTTCTATTTGGCTAAGGCTAGATTTCTCCCCAATAGCACCAAACACCTGCCAAGTGGAACCTTTAGAAGACAATACTGCTACATATAGGTTTGAGAGAGAAAACATCACAGCCACAAACCAAGCCCTCCTGGCGCTATCCAGATGCGCTCTAAGCCACATCCAGAGAACAGCTCCCTGGAAATCACTGCCTTGGATAAAAACATATTAATGTTAATGTAATTCAGACTTCTCTTTTTGAGGAGAAGCTATGAAAATCAGCACTTGCAGTATCCTACCCTGAGAGAACAAGTCATAAATGGTCCCCAGCAGAACAAAGAACTCCAAAAATCGTATATATTGTAGATGAAGCAACCTCTTAGGCAGGAAAGTCTGCATGGATAAACAGAAAAGTTAACAGGGTTACGTAGAGCAGAACCACTGCCCCAACGAAGGAAGAGCTCAGTGAGGGATGGATTACCACCTACACACAAAAGGGGTACTTTAGGGCTATGTAAGAACATGAATGCAATACCAGAAGCACAGTCACCAATGAGAGGATTTCTCAAAACGCACCTGGTGGGAAGGACAAATGGCGAGCACGAGGCACCTCGAGGGTGAGAACACACAGCAGCCGGCCCACGGCAGCCCCACCCCCTTCCCTGGACCTCACTGAGGAAGTGCAGGAAGACCAGGAGCAGAGTGTGCGTGGGACTCTCACCCACACACTCCAGAAGAGACCCGCAGAGTTCAAGGCTGGCTAAAGAAATGTGAACAACAGAAGTGGGCCATATCCTCAAAGAAAGGCTAACATGGTTTCTGCTACGAGGCAACAGGCTGACTAAGATAGCGTGGAGGTCATCTGAGAGGGTGAATGTCCCTGGGAACCAGAGACAGAATGTACTCAGAGTTCCACTTTTTAGTGGCCTTGCATTGAAAACTTGGGTTTTGAGCTGCCTAGGAATGGGGGAATGTTTCATCACGGATAAAAGAGCTCATTTTGAAAAAAATAAACTAAGTATTTCTCCGGCCTAAGAGGTTTTATCATTGGATTATGCACTATGGATCAGGCTGGGAATGAAATTTATAAATGATCTGGAAGAGCCAAATGCACTGTGAAATTTGCCAGTAAATGGGCTTCAATGAGAGCAGGTATATGACATTTTATTTAGAGAAAAATAAATCACATTATCACTGAATAAGAAGCTCTCAGTTATCAGCTATATCTCAGAAAAACAATTTAAGAATCGCTGCAGATTTTCACCAGAAGACAAACTCAATGTAATGTGAAGTCAGCTACAACACTAAAAAGGAAACCCAGGGGTCAATTTTTGAGTGCGAGGGAATACATGCTCCAGTTTTTTTTAAGATCAAGAATAATGTCTTTAGGGCACTGGATACATTCTAGAAGAGACCACCAGGGCACAGTTTTTCCCAAAAAATGGACTATGGAAAAATCTGTAGTATATGTATACATTCAAATGATTTTCATTAATGTTAACAGCATATTTTACAGGCACGTTTGCTTTGAAAAGTGGTCTTTTTAAAAGTTCTGTATAAGCTGCCCTCATCCTATCTACAAAACCAGGGCCTATACTTGGAACGTGCCAAGTCCCATCAACCTCCTGGGGCCCAGTGAATTATTTAGAAGCTAGTATAGCCATGGAAACAAGCCTTCACGGCCACCAAGAAGGGCAGTTTCATAAAGAGCTTCCCAAGGAAGCTCTTCCATGAATAACAAGTTCATCCAGAAGGTGGGCTGCACCTTGGGCAGCTCTGTGCCAGGCTGACACAGCAGTTACACAACAGAGGGGCCGGGGCCACAGGCTGGGGCCAGACACAAGTCCTGTAAGGAAAACCCTGTAAAATGTCTATACAAGATGGGAGGTTGGGGGGCACAGGTGTACTTGCAAGTACAATATTAAGTGTCTGCTGTTTTTAGCTGATACAATGAATGCCAGATTTCAGTTCATTTAACTTTTGATAATTCCCCATTATACTATCTGGGGAGTAGCACTAACAAGCTATGTGACTTTCTGCAAATTAACATTTCTGAACATCGGTTTCTTTCTTTGTAAAACAGGGGTTACTAATATTAGTGCTTTACACATCACAAGGCATGAGAGAATTAAATAACAAGCAAGTAATATAATGCCTGGTATGTAATGAGTGTTCCGCAAATGGAGGTTATCATCATTACTATTAATGCAACCACCACAACAACAAGCTAGCCCTGAACCCACAGCAGGTGAAACCCGTAGATGGCAGCCCAGAGCCTTTCCCACCGGCTTTGACCAGAGGCACCCTCAGGCCACTCACAACAGGAAAGGTAACAGTTACTAGCTATGGCCATGCCCCACCCTGCCTTTGCTTGCTTGGAGTTTCTCTGATGTACTACTGGGTTCTAAAACCCAGAGAAGACGAGCACATCAGAGCTAAGTCCAAGGTTGTTTTTTCCTAGCACACTTGATGGTCTAAAGGACATAAAACTTCCTTTCTGATCTGCCATCTGTGGTGAAATTGCTACCAAGATGCAGATTTTTATGACAACCCTTATGGCAAGGGTATCAAACTCATTTTCACCAGGAGCACATCAGCCTCACGGTTGCCTTCAAAGGGCCAAATGTAATTTTAGGGCTGTATAAATGTAACTACTCCTTAACTATTAGGGGTTGAAATTTCATTCACCCCTACCTTATGGAGAAGACCATCACTCTCAAGGTTGACCCCTCGGCTACAACAGAAACAAGGCCAAGACCAGGATGAGGAAGGAACCCCCCGGTCAGCTGAGACTGACCTCTGCTGGCCAGCCGCGGGCAGACGGGCGCTGTGTCCGACTGCAACATTCAAAGGGAGCCCACTGTTCCCCTCTCGATGAGACTCCGTGGTGGCACTAAGAAGAGGAGTGAGTCTCACACCACTCGCCACAGTGGTGTGAACGTAAGCAAAGAACAGCGTTAAGTGAAAGGTTAGGCTGGCTGTCCTGACACCACACAGTGGACGCGAGGGCAAGACCCGTCGCCTTCGTCGGGAGCGCCCTTCAGATGAATGCGGTGCCGGAGACTTTACGGCCACTCTGACGGGCAGGACCGTGGCGAGTGCTGCCTGACCTGTGGCCTCAACGCACCAGAAGCCAAGTCATTGTGTTTGGGTTAATAAAAGACATGAACTAACTAACTAACTAACTAAATAACTAACTAAATAAATAAATAAATGAGAGCGTTCTTATTGCTAGGGTTTTTAAAAAGCTCTACCTCTTGTTCCGAATTATCCCGCTCCCTCCCCACTGAAACACCTCTCTGGAATATACTGTCGGAGCCTCATCTCTCGTCTCCCCCACACTTTTTCGAATCATGATTTCTTCCTCTTTAGATGTGGGGGGGAGACAGAGCAGCAGGGAAGTGGCAGTGGAGAAACCATGTTCTGACAGCAAAGAACAGAGTAATAAAATATTAGTCCATTTTTTTAACGTTGGTTAAATTAAAAAATAAAAACCAGTTTACCTGATCCCGAAGTAACTATAAACTGCTGTAACCCCAGATAAACATCTAAATTGTCCTGAAGAACTGGGAACTGAAAACAAAGAAACAATGATTTTAAAAAAACCCCAAAATGTAAGTTTTAACAGCATTTTACCATTAAGACAGTGTAAGTACCTATGGCGAGAGGGGGAGATAAAAACTTTTCTCTGGGAACCTTTATGTGCCAGGAACAAAAGATGGCTTCCTTCTGTGTCCCTGCCCCCAACAATTTCTACAACTGAAACCACCAATCATTATTTGGACTAAAAATAAATAAATAAAAAACAGCAGTTTGATACTTTTTTTAAAACAAAGCAATAGATGCTTGGTATTATTATTATGTTCCTAGAAGAGGACATCAAGCCCCAAAATGATCTGATCCTTTCAGAGTTCTGAAACAGAACTCTCTCCTTTCAAGTCCAAGGCAAACCCTAGCTTCGAGAGAAACACAGGTGTGCCTTTGTTACGGTGTGTGGCTAAGTGAAAAGACAGGCCAAACTATTTGGAACTCGCTCTCCCTTACTTATTTAGCAGACGGGACCCCCATAACCAGGGCTGTATCTTGTTTTCCTAACCTGGTAATTCCCCATTAAGATAAAGACAAAACTTTAATGTGACAGACTCCCTAAGAACAGTAAATGATATAATGGCACACTCTGTAAGAGAACACAAAATACAGCTGGGTTGTGCAATGCAAAGCTCACCCCAATAAATTATCCTGCCTTTGAAGAGATAAGCTTGATGAAATCTCAAAAAACAAGTACCACTTAGTCAGTAAAATCAGTCCTATGACTAAAGATTCCGGCACGTAAATACCAGCGAAGAGTGCCAGCAATTTGCCAAGAGTAAGCTCTACAATGGCTAGCTTGTAATTTATACGAATTACACTAATGTAATTCATATAAATAAATCTTCTATTTGGCCACTTTTGAGCTACTGATGAAGGCATTAGCAAAGTTCTATTATATATGAGAATTCATGTAAGAAAAACGGGGCTTCCAAAAGTTGAATCTAAAATATTTTGGGAAAATATTAACATTTAATCAATTTGAGGGTCAGTAACAGTAATATTTCTGTTAGGAATATATACATATTTTATAATACCAGAGAGCAAAAAAGCCTCGCTACTCATACTACATGGGCAGGGAAATCATCAGGCTCTTCATCCCCCTCCAAAGGGTGAGTTACCAGTGTTGAGAAGGCGTGTGTGGGAAGGAGCTCCATCACTTTGGCCACTACCTCCAGGCTCTGGCGTAAGTACCGCTGCCACTCTGTCTGCTGCTGCAGGGAAAACAGAAGGGTCAGCTCTCCAACAGGAAGTCTCGCCATTCTGTCCTCAGCCTTAAGTCTACTCTTTGACATACCAGTTTGAAGAAATGGCAAATGAGGGAACCAGTTAATTGGAACTTTAAAAAGGCCAAGCTAAAGTATTTATTTTTAAATCCAATAAACTAATGTCATTAAAAACTTTTTCTTAAAAAAGCAGATGATCCATGCAGAATGACCTATTTTCCCCGCAACAGTCAGAGAAATATAGATAGAAAAGCCCTTGGGAAATGCTCCAGTCCCCCCTCCATCGTCACAGCTATAGGAACCAGTCACTCATGCCTTCCGAGACCATCCAGTGCCATGTTCTAGAGCTGATCGAATCAGTGCCGCTTGAAGAATGGTCTACAGACAGGCAACATCGGCATCTCCTGGGGACTTGCTGGAAATGCAAATGCTGTGGCTCCCACCCAAACCTCCCAAATCCAATCTGTTTAACACCTGTGTTAGTGAATTCTTATCCCTGTTAAAATATAAGAAGGACTGGTCTGAATCACACAGTTAACAAGAAGTGACACTGAAGTTTACCAAGCACCTAGTGGGCACGAGGCATACAGCCAGTCCTCCCCCATGTGTTACCCTCATGTAACTATCAACAGACACACCGCCCTCATTTAGGGAGATGAGAAAACTGAAGCTCAGAGAAACTCAATGCCCAGACACCTCTATCTCCTTCATGCCCAAGGCCACAGAGATTCAAACCCAGGCCATCTAATACCAAGTACAAGGTTCTTTCTGACCCAAACATGGTTACCCTCAATGTCTTGATTATGCCACAGTCACTGTGGCATATTCTTAAGCCGCACCAGTGACTTGAAAATTCTAAAGTACACGGTGGTTAAGAAAAAACAACACTGTTAAAGCGTCATCCTGATACACCCAGGTTGTGGGCTTGATCCCAGGTCAGGGCACAGCCAAGAAACAACCAATGAATGCAAAAATACATGAAACCACAAAATGATGTTTCTTTCTCCCTTCCTCTCTCTCTCTCTCTCTAAAGTCAATTTAAAGAAACAGAGTAAAAGAGAACACTGGAGCTATGTCCTTAAGAGACATTTTCCTCATCAATGTGGGCACATCAGCATCAATAAGGCCAAAATTTATTTTAAGACATATCAGTTTATAAAGCATACTTAAAGGAAATTTCCTTTCATTCTAGCTTTACCATTTTAGTATCATTTAAATATTTCCACTAGCACCCAACTTTTACTTGTTGCCCAGAGTAGGAAGTAGAGGTATGGATGCCAGACAGAGGGACATAGAGTTCTTACTAAACCACTTTTCGCTGTACACTTATACTTACATCTCTAGTCCATATTGGTAAAAATGCCTGTAAAACTTCGTTTATAGTTAATAAACCCCAAAAGACTGGCAAGATATAAATTTCAAACGAACAACTCAAACCTAAAATAAGACTACTCTGGCTTAAAAACAGTCTCCAGGGCAGAGGGCTGACGGGTCCCAAGTCCCACTGACAGGACCAAGTCCCCTGGTCACGCACATGGCAACGTGACCAGGACCGAAGGCCCATTAGGGGTGCTGCTTACATCATCATCCAGAGTCTCGTCATCTAACTCCTCCAGCTGGGCCTGGTTGTATCTGAACTGGATGCGATTCAACACCTCCGTGAGCAAGAGGACTAGGGCATCTTCGTACCTGCGTGGCAGGGAGAAATTCAACATGAGGTGAAAGCAAACTTTTAGTCTAGGATTTCAAAAAGGCTTCCTGCACTATGAAAGGAATCGCATCTGTGTACTGACTTACCATACAAAAGGAGCACCTAAACTAAGCTCAGTTTACGGGTGGGCAAGTGTGTGCGTGACAGTGGAACAGTAGCGGGGATATGCCTTCATTTAACTACGTTCCGGCACCTTCTTGATGGACTGACCCCTGAATCATTACATAATGTCCTTCTTTGTCTCTGTAGCAATTTTTGCCTTTAAGTAATTTCATCTGATATTAGCATAGCTAACCCAGACCTCTCTTGGTTATTGTTTGCATGGAATATCTTTTTCTGTTCCTTTAATTTCAACCTATCTGTCTTTGAAACTGAAGTGAGTCTGTTGTAGACAACACATAGTCAGAGCATGGGTTTTTACTCCATTCTGATTTCTGCTTTTTAACTAGAAATTAATCCTTTATATTTAATGTAATTACTGATAAGGAAGGACTTCTGCCATTTATTTTCTCTGTCATATCTTTTGTTCCCAATTCCTCTATTTTGTGTTATGCAGTTATCTAATGTGCCACTTTAAATGCCTTGTCATTTCTTTTGCCATATATTTTTGGGTTATTTCTCAGTGGTTCCCTGGGGAATTACAGGTACTATATGTATTAAATATGAATTTATTCAATGATTTTTAACAACTATGAGAGGGAAGTGGTATCAATGGGTTTTTTCTGATGAGAGAACTGCAGTTGACTACCAGCTGATTTGAACTCAGGGCTCCCTAACTCAACATCCGTTTTCTCCGTACATAAATCACCAACTGGCTTTGAGCCTGCTACATCCACTCCCCCAAGCCTACTCTTTAGTCAGTTTTAAGAACACTTACAACCTAAATGAAAAATGTAAAAAACCCTGGGGAAACCCTGACGCTTTGATCTATGTCTAAGATTAATTTCTCACAGAAACACTTGGAGCCCAAGGCTTGGATACTGCTCACGTGTGATAAGAACTTAACTGAGAAGACACCAACTTACATGCAACAGTTGCTAACACAAGGGCCCACAAACCACCAATTTTTAAGAACAAATTCTGTTGCCTAAACGCTCGCCTGTCCTGAAATGTCTCTCAGGTAAGTTCCGGGACTGCTCCCACTCAGAGCAAATCATCCCTGCTGCTTATTCAGCTCTCAGTGCCAATCTCCTCTCTGTGCTGTGTGACGCTGGAGCTGACACTATGCAAAGCACATCTGTCCTTGGCCCTTTAGGCTCCGTGGACAGGGTTGCAGGAGAAAGACAGGAAGGCAGCAGAAGGGACTCCATCCTCCCTGTGGGCTGTTCGTCCCAGCAGTGCTGCCCCAACAACGGTCACCTGGCAGTATAACCGGCTCCAGGTTCCAGCTTGCACACTCCCAGACCAGCCTCACCATACACTCCCAGACGTGCCAGCAGCAGCCAGGCTATTTATTCCCTCTCCTCAAAGGACTGAGTCCCAGTCCCACGGGGCGCCAGCTGGAGTTCCTGTGGCCGCAGAGATGTGAGCTTGGCTGCCTGGGGTCCAGCCCTCTGATGCTCTAGGTCAGTCGTAGGGCAACAAGATAACCAAAGCCAGAGTTCACCAATGCCAAGATCAAATACAGTCCATTTAGTCTAAGAGTTACATGACTTGCCCTGACTGGTGTGGCTCAGTTGGTTGGAAGTCTTCTGCAAAGCAAACGGTCAACCTGTCGATGTGTCTCTCCCACGTCAATGTTTCTGTCCCTCTCTTTCTCCCTCCCTGCCCTTCTCTCTGAAGACAAATGAAATCTTAAGAAAAAGAAAGAAAAAGTTACACAACTCATGTGATGCGACTCTGCAGAGAGGGAGTCTAAAGAACACTTAAAAACCCTCCTGAGCTGCCACATGCCGCACAGAGTTCGGAGCTTGCTCACTGGAGGCAGAAACACTGCCCAGGCCTCCCCCCTAACAATGCACCCCCCCTCAGTGTTTATAAACGACTCAACAACCTAGATTAGACTGGCAACTGAGCATGGCCCGGGGAGGGATGCTGACAGAGAAAATCACTGATAAAGTAGGCAACATTTGTGGAAAAAATGCCATGAAAATCAGTTTAACACACTTCAGAGAAAAGAAAGATCAAACACTTCAGCCTGGAGCTTACATTTGCCATTTGTTCAGGACATAAATTCCTAAAGTTATATAAATTTCACGCTGTAATTTGTTATGATGAACCAAAACATTTTTATAATTTTGCTAGCAAAAAAAAATCCACTTCAGACTAGAGGACAGATAAAATCTGTCATCTGTAAACTGCCTTGTGGAGCTAACACAGAATTTAAAGTTTAAAGACTGTAAGGAGAGGGTAACCCTAAATTAGACCTAAAACCCTTAGCGACCAGAATCGCTAACTGCCAACTTAGGTTGAAAAAAAAAATCACTTAGAAAATTGAAGTCTTCTTGGAACCAGGCCAAAGCTCACTCAGGCAGCTCATCTCCCGAAGGGTTTGGTGCGAGTTGGGGGTATACACAGACGTGGCAGGCTCCGGTTGCCTACCCACAGCCCATTCTTCCCTTCCTTCCCCGCTTAGTAAGGGAAGGAACACTGGGCACTGAAGCCATCTGAAAGACTACATTTCTAGCCTCACTTGCAGAGGGGCCTGGTCAAGGCCTTATTAAAAGAAGTCATTGGGTGGGGCCCCTGGGAAAGCCTCTTTCGTCCAACCTCTCCCCTTTCTGATGTCTATAAATTCAGCACCCATCTTTTGACCACAAGGTGACTGTGGAGATGGAGAACATGCCTAAGGCTAGTAGAACACACAGGTAAAAGGATCCAAAATATTAATCAACATTCAAAGAATGAGGCGACGCTGACCATTTATCAAGGGAAAAACAATCAGAAAATGCCAACCTCACAATCACATCCGTGTTGGACTTTTAAAATAGGTATTATAACCATCCTCCATGAGGATCTTCAGATGGAAGGTGTTCTGAACTGAACTGTGTCCACTAAAAATTTTCAAACTCCTAACCCAAAATGTGACTTCAGAATTTTTCTAGGAAAGAAAACCCACTTCAGACTAGAGGATAGATAAAATCTGTCATCTGTAAACTGTCTTATTGAGCTAAAAGGAAATGTAAAGACTCTGAAGGTATCTGAATATAAGACCTATAAAAAGGTAATAAAAGTTAAGTAGAATCCTAAGGTTGGGACCTTAATCCAATAGGACTAGTGCCCTTACAAGAAGAAGAAACGACAAGAGGGAATACGCATGCCCCGCCTTCCCTGCGCAAGCACAGGAGAAAGGCCATGTGAGGACGGAAAGAGGAGACAGTACCTGTACGCCAGGAAGAAGGTCCTCACCAGAAAATGCACCTGCCAGCACCCTGATCTATGATTCCAGACTCCAGAACTGTGAGAAAATAAACTTCTGCTGTTTAAGCCAAACACTCGATAATGTTTTGTTATGGCAGATATAGCTGATTAATACAGAAGGTAATGATAGTAAGCAAAAGGAACCTGGAAATTCGAGAATGAAAGAAAAGCAAGAGAATTGGCAAATGTCTGGTTAAATACAATAGACTTTATCTATTGTATTTTTAAGATCCTTAAGTTCTTTAAAATAAGACGAATGAAAGCAAAAACTGAACATTATCCAATGAGGTTTTCAATGTACATAGATGTTAAACATATGACAACCTCAATAGAAAGAAGGGACAGTAAAAGGACCTGTATGTTGCTAAGGTTCCTACATTACGGTGTAAGTGAAGTGTGCAATATTAAGTATACATACTGCAATACCAGAGTAACCACGAAAAAAACCTCATATAATGAGACCCAGTCACTCAATAGACACATTGGAAAAGGAAACTAAATGTGTGTGCAACTAACATAGTCTCAAAGGAAGCGAAACTGATAGAACTGAAAAGAGACAGACAAACCCACAATTACACCTGGAGAGTTTACCTTTTTCGATAACTGACAAAACAAGCAGGATAAAGACAACATGCAAAATATAATCGACCAACCTGCCCTGACCTTTATGAAACACTTCCCACAACAGCAGTAGAATGCACTCTTTTCAAGTGCGCCAGGAACAATCACCAAGAGAACTAGTTAATAAAACAAACAAACCTTAACAAATTGAAAAGAACTGAAATCATACAAACTATGCTTGCAGGTAATACAAACTAGAAAACAATAACAAGATGTATGGAAAATCTCCAAATACTGGGAAATTAAACAAAGAAGAAATCAAGAGAAATTTAAATACTCTAAGCAATGAAAAGAAAAATAGAACATACTAAAATTTGGTGGATAAAGCTAAAGCACTGCTCAGATGGAAATTTATAGCATTAAATGTTTAAATATAAAAGAGATAAACCTACAGACTTGTTTGGCTCAAACCACAGATGTAATTCCAAAAGCATCCCAACTTTTTCTGAAGTTAAATAAAATTCTACATGTTAAGGCAACTACATAGTAGGAGCTCAGTAAATATATGAGGAATGAAAGAACAAATAAATAAATAAACATGGAGGCAAAACTCCATGTCAGATAACTACAAAGGACTGAAGCATAATCCTCAATAGCTTTTTCATCTCTATAAGGACATAAATAAGACCCCTGTCACTTGCTCTCTGAGGAAGTCAACAGCATGAATTTCTCTTGGCAGAAGCTAGAAAGCTATTGGAGCCTTGATTAACGGACTCTATTAATTGTATCAAAATATCATATGTCATAATGGCACTTCCTCTTTATTAAAGCCGAAAAGCCACTCAGGAAGAAAAGGGCAGCCATTTTTCTCACGCTCACCTACTTTTGTTTACAATCCAATCTAATGTCACCCGCAATCCCTGGCTGGTCTGTGGCCAGCTCCTCTCTGTGTTCTCATGACAGTGGGTTCACAAGTCATGACTCAATAACTTTAGGTTGCTTAAACTCACTTCAGGTTTCCTCATCTTCCTGTAAAAATAAGTTTCTACACCGGTGTCCCTTTTCACACTGACAAGCGCAAAGAAAAGAGTGAGAGAGAAAAGGGAAGAAAAGCAACACATACTGACTGATCACTTCCTGTCAGCAAAGGCACTTTACACACATTGGTTCATTTAATTTTCTTAACAACTTATCAGGTAGGTAAAACCATCCACAAAGCATAAATGAAGAAAAGGAGACAGAAGAAACTCGGGTCTTTCCACACCATGTCAAAACGGCAAATCTGAACAATGAGCCCAGTCCACAATTCCGTTCAGCTGGACATGCTGCAGACACTAATGCTGGGAGTCAGGTTCTCTAAAGCAGCAGTCTCCAACCTTTTGGCACCAGGGACCAGTTGCATGGAAGGCAATTTTCCCACAGACCAGGAGGAGGCAGGAGAGATGATTCCAGAGAGCAGGAGGGATGATTCTAGCACATTATATGCAAGCTCACCTCCTGCTGTGCAGCCCAATTCCTAACAGGCCCGGATCCACACTGGTCAGTGGCCCAGAGGCTGGGGACCTCTGCTCTAGAGTACCCACCAGCTCTGATCAAGAAGCTATTGAGCCTTCTTACTGAGCAAGGTACATACATGCACAGCTCCAGTTTCCGAGCTCCTAAGACCAAAAATAAATCCATGCACATTTGTGCTTCTAAATTTGTACCCTACCAATGTCTACCACATTGTTGTGATGAATGATGCAAAACCTTTAAACCACAAGGGACAGGAACTTAGTGCTGCCTCTGTGACTTAACCACACCTTCATTTCCTACTTAAGACACTAAGAAAACATTCTTGACTACTTCCTGCAAGATTGGTTGCTTCTGAAATTCTGGCTCAAACCACAAGTGATTCCAAAAGCACCCCAACTTCTTTCAGATATATTTTATCAGCTGAAAAACATTTGATCACATTTATAAGCTCTAGATAAAATGAATGTGGTAATTACCAGTATCAGCCACCTCTGTAAAACAGCACACTCTGATATAATGGGGTCTTTTATAACCCAGAACAGTGGCTGTCCAACTTTCAAAACTTTCATTTAAAACTTTCAAGAACACACTCATAAAAACGTATAGTGTAGAAGAGGAAAGATAAAATGTGTCAGTTAAAGTTCAGCTAATATTTTTGTGCAGCCCCAAGGACTGACCACCTTATACACAATCCTAGGGCAGTCTGCCACCCTGGACCACTGAGGGATGTCTGGCTTAAGACAAGCAGGCCTTCTGATGACAGTCCCTCTTTAACAGCATAAACAACAGACCAGCTTTGGAAGTTTGGGGTTTGGGTATTTTTATTCTTTAAAGGCATAAAAGTGTTATAAGTGTATTTTTTAAAAGTCATGAAAAATTAGAAAACCTCATTTTAGGGTGATAATCAAATGATCAATGAGAAAAACCCCTAGTGTTAAAAGTGGTCGGCCAGAACCACTGACAGCTGTAATACCACATGATATCAGATGACGGACACCTGGGCAGACAGGCCAACATCAGCAAGAAGGCTAAAAGCCTTTAGGCTGTCCGGGGGCCCTGTCGCTTAACTCCACAGTATTATGACAGTTGGGGGTCATCACTGTGACCATGTACTGAGTGTCTGGTACATGCTACGTGCTATGCCAGGTATTCTGTGTACATGATTTTATGGAAGCCTAATCATCCTCTAAGACAAGTATAGTTTGGTAACTTTGCAAGAGGAAATGTGGTCAGCATATAACCTGACCAAAAGTAACTCTATTACCATGAAGCAGAAAAAGAATTTAAACTTGCAACACTGGTCCTTCCAACAGTACAACAATCTATAGTGTGTATTTATTAATCTGCTAGTGTACATTTCTCGATGAGACCATATTTTCCACACATTTGTACAGTGCTTTAAAAAGCATCTAAAGTTTATTAATAAATTTCTCCAGTTTATTCTTCCAACGAGTCTGAGAGATATGAAAGAATATCTACCACATTTCAAATATAGCGAAATTAGGCACAGTCCCAGGACCAAAGGATGTGGCAGTTGGGCATCCAAGAAGGAGAATTTGGCAGAAGCACCTTTCCTTTGAAGAATCTCATTCAATAACACAATTACTTACAGTTGGCAAATTCACCAAAACCAGGATCTACTGTTGTGTAATAAGGTTTCTGATACATGAATATACTACGCCTGGCACCAGAGCAACTTGGAAGCTATTTTGCAATCACAAAAATAGTATCTGGGGGCCCTGGCTGGTGTAGCTCAATAGATTGAGCGCAGGACTGAGAACCACACGATCGCAGTTTGATTCCCAGTCAGGGCACATGCCTGGGTTGCAGGCCAGTTCCCAGCAGGGGCACACAAAAGGCAACCATACATTGATGTTTCTCTCCCTCTCTCCTTCCCCCCTTCCCCTCTAAAGATAAATAAATAAAATCTTTAAAAAAAAATAGTATCTGGGAACAAAAGTACAAATGTTTCAACTTGAAATACAAATATTCTGTTTATAATTTTAAAAGCTCATAAAACCTCAGCAATGGAAAGGGCTTTAGAGGTTCAACCCAACCTCTTCCCAGGTGGGGTTCTCCTCACCACCTCCTTCCGGCACATTTCCGGGGGAAAGGGGTGTTCGTGATCACCACCGACCACGGATGCCATGTACTGAGCCCATTAAAGTGCCAGGCATTCCAGATACATCAGCTTATTGTTTCATTCCTGACATGAAATAATGACCACGGTGTGCAGGAAACACACTTCCTGCCCGCAAGAAAGAAAAATGAGCTTAAGGAATGTGGGGGAAAAAAATATGTCCCCATTTTCTATTTTCAAAAAATGCAATGAAAAATGTGTGAAAGTAATCAGCTATTTCTGGATTGTGAAATTACAGATAAGTTATCCTCTTTATATTTTTCTATTCCTGGTTTCTAAAATAAATATGTTTTTTTTGTGGCAAGTATTATTACCTTGTTTAGGAAATTTTCAAACACAAAAGGAGTAAGAATATAATGAACCCTAAGTTCCTAACAACTAAATTCAATATTGATTATCGACAGATGGCCAACCCAGGTCCCCCTCTATTCCCAGTGGATTATTTTAAAGCAAATCCTAGATGTCATATCATTTTATACAATAAAATACTTCAGTAATGTCATTAAAAAGAAAATAACAAAGAGAATTATCACACCTAAAAAATTAAGAATACATATTACTTTTTTAATCAGAAAAAATGTTTTCAGAAAATGAGGTATTAAGAAGAAAGAAGAAAATATTCAATGGCATTACTACTGAAACAGCTTACATGGCTCAGTTTCACCAAAGAGTTCTGGCAGCATGGTTGACCATTTAGGCCATAAAAAACAAATGGCAAAAATGATATCAACATTTCTGGGGTTTACCTGTTGAGAACTGCTTCTTTGTCTCCCAGACGACTCTTAATTTTACTTGTCAGATAGTCCAAAAAGAGTGTCCAGATATCCAAACAAGAGAAGTAACCTTCATGAGTAGGCTATGGTACAAAAGAAATCCAGATAATGAAATTACTTAATGCAAATACTCCTTAGAAGCACATCTACCAGTTTACTATTACCAGAATGTTACATCATAAGCCTAGATTCCCTCAACTTCCTGGTAACCACACTGGTGTCTTTTAGTCAGTCTTCACAATTGGAACCTGGTGAACCTAACAAGACAAGGGTAGCGTGGGACACATCATTAGGGAGATACTTTGTGGGACAAACTGAGTTACAAACTAAGCCAAGCGAACACCTATCTTAAAATCTGAGACTGTGGTGAGGAAGACTCTTCCAGATCATCCAATTCATTTCTGTTTCATAGAGAAAGAAACTGAGAACCAGAGGCATGATTTATTCAACGTCAGGGGAAGGAGCAGGTCCCTTTACCCCATCAAATGCTCTTCCCACTACATACTATTACAAAACCGAACATAAGTTTCAATGGCTCTAAAGGTGCCGAGTTTACACACTTGAAGCTTAGGAAAGACCATTTGCAATCTTCCTATATAACAAATTGAAAATGAGCTTGTTAAGTCCGACTCTCAGGTATTATCTCATCTGCAAAAGTAGCAGTGTCCGGCAGGCTCACAGCAACCTCTCACCCGGCGTCGATAAGGGCAAAGTGAGAAGAGGAGAGCAAGTCTTCGTAGGAATCTAGTTCTGGACCATTTGCGTGACTGTACTGACTCTCTCAGGGGCTTTGAGCTCCTATTTCATTCAAAATGTAGGCATTTAACTATCCAATATCTAATCATTCTCATACATACTGAGTTTCAACTTGTGGTCCCCCAATCCCTTACATATGCACTCAAATACTGTCCACCTATGAGGACTCTGGTTTCACTTGTGATTGCTTGACTGAACCACAAAATTGGTAGCAGGATCAGGTGTGGGAAGAAATAATACCACCATACTGGATCAGCTTTCCTTCCATTTCTGATCCACAAGGAAATCCAGAAGTTTCCATGGGCATGTATGGAATTTGCTCAAGAAGTTAACTAATGCCGGGTGGTAGCACGCAGTGGGAGTTCTGTACCTGGACAAGCCTAAGGTGGAAAAGTGAACTTAAAAAACAGCAGATTCCAAGCTCACAACCCCAGTGGGTGGCCCTGGAACAAGATGACTGCAGTTCAACCAGGACCACTGACAGGGCCATCCTCAGAAAAGAAATAGACACTTCCTGTCTCCACTTCATACTTTACAAAACCCAGGATGTCCATGACATGACATAAAATAAGCAGGAAAAAGAACTGATAATAGAATGGAAAGGCAGATAAAGTACTTCTCAGATAAGATCAAATTCAAGGAGTTCACCATCACCAAGCCCTTATTATATGAGATGTTAAAGGGACTTATCTAAGAAAAAGAAGAAAAAAAAGATGAACAGTGAAAGGACATCAAACTCACACTTATTAACAACCACATCTAAAACAAAAGCAAACTAAGAGGACAGCTAGATCAGGAGCAGAACCACAGAAATGAAGATCACGTGGAGGGTTGGCAACAGGGGAGTGGGAGGAGAAGAAGAAGGGGGGAGAAAGTACAGAAAATAAGTAGCACAGACAGTAGATAGAAAATAGACAGGGGGGAGGGCAAGAATAGTATGGGAAATATAGAACTTGAGATGCATGGTCATAAACTGGAGGGGGGGAATGGTAGGGGAGAGGGTGTGCAGGGTGGAGGGGAATGTAGGGGGGAAATAGAACTGTAATGGCATAATCAATAAAATATATTTTAAAAAAAGAACTGATAAGCCATGTGGGGCTAAGACAGAGAGCTGGCGGGCAGGCACCTGACTTGCATAGCCAGGGATGCAGTCTCATCCTGGCTTTGGCTTGCTGAGCTTCCCTCAAGTCAGTCACCCAGTTCTTCCTTGGTTTGAAAACACTCACCAGAGCCCTCCAAAATAAATCCACGTTTTCTGGCTATGTCAAAGTACTTTATAATTACACATGCCTTGATTTGAAGATTTACTATGTGTCTCAAGGCCAGAAAAAAAAGGAGGCAGATAACCCTCTATAGAACCTGCAACGCTGCCATCCACATCCGCACACACAGGCCCCACTGAGAGACCTTGTTTTCTGCCCACAACCTGGCCTTTGACAGCTGCTGTGTGTACACATGGTTCAGGTCATAAAGATGACAGGCTAACTGCACTTTGAAAGCCATTCAACTTTTCAGAACTCTAACAGACCCATTTTAAAAATGTACTTGCAGTAAGATTTACTTATAGATCCAGGGATGATTAATCACTAAAAATCCTGATAAGTTTCTTACAAGAAACTGCCACCACTCTTATCTCCAAGTAGTGTGCAGTGGTTTAGTTGTCATTTGCATTGGCCTATATGATCTACACAATAGTCCTGGAAACTAGACATGTTATTTTTCTTCTTCCCATTTTACAGATAAAGAAGCCAAGGCTCAGCAGTTACCTGCCCAAGGTGACAAGGTAAGGAACAGAAAGACAAGTAGAATGTGGATCGTAAGACTCTGTGCCAGAGCCCTCCCCCCACCCCCATGCCACACCATCTCAGCGAGTTTTAGGAAGAAAGAACAAAATGAAAAATGCAAGACCAAGAAGGAACTGGTAATGTTACAGTAATGGAAGGAGCAGGAAGACAGTAATCATGTGCTTATACAGACACCCCAAGGCCTCAACAGGCAAGGAAAGTGACGGTGGAGGCAAACACCTGGTGACTACTAGTGATTGGTGGAAGACACTAAGGTAAAAGAAACAATGTAGGAAAAGAAAGAGGAGAGAGAAACTGGTAAACAAAAGATACCAATACCACTTTTATCTTATTACTATTCTTTTCAAAATGTTTACCAGTACTAAACTTTTTATGAAATTTAGAAACAAAACAAAAACATTGAGTACACCCATAATAACCCTCTAGACAAGAAACATATTTTCCCACTTTACCATATTTTGCCATGTATAATGCACTTCCGTGTTATGATGCACACCCATAGTTTTGTGAACATTAACACATGGATTATTATGCCATTACACCCATGTATATGCACATCCTTACTTTTCCTTCACAAATCTGGGCAACAAGTACAGATTATACACAGCAAAATATGGTAAACTATGATAAAGCAAGTTCTCACTATCGGTACACAAGAACTTAAAGCTTTCTCTAGAGAGCACTTAATTTCAAATTCTTAAATCTTATCCCAAAACACTCTCCTACTACCAGCTTCTGATCCTAGAGTGCGGCCTGCCATCTTTTCTCCACTCTGCCTCCCCGGCAAAGGGCTGCCTACCCTACAGTGAACTATACACAACAGCTTCCAGGTTCCTACCCTTCTGCCCTATGCGCAGAATCTGCCTCCGCCTGGACCAAAGGACACCATAGTCCAAGAGCCTGACCAGAAAGAAAGGTCCTTAGACAGGAGGCCAGGAGAGCAGAAGGGAGCTCGGCTGACAGAGACCGAAGGTAAAGGAGGAAGAAAGAAGCCTGTAGTTTGCTTCGTTACCGTAGCTACTTCTTTTCCCAGTATATAAATATAGTATATGTAAGTATATAAAACTACCACTTTCTGTTCAGTGGAAAACATTTAGTGGAAAACTAAACTAACATGTAAAACTCTAGTTTTTTAGAGGAAACAGCTACTAGAATCACTAGCAGGATTCTAGTGAAAGGATCATAACAGATGAACATTGGGAAAGACCCTAAAGATGCCCCCTACAGTCCCTCTCCCTTAGGTGAGGAACCTGAAGTCAAATGAAATTCAAGGAACTTTTCCCAGGACACAGACCTAACAGAAATAACCAGAGATCAACAAAAAAACTTCTGAGTCCAAATCAAAGTAGTCCTAAGCCAGGCACACTTTAACACATTTTTTTAGCTTTCTTCCATACCATATATACTAAAAGAACCTTTTTCTCATAGGAAGAAAAAAATGCAAGACATTTTCATTCCATTTTCCCCAAACAGACCCCTCCTTTCTGACATCAGCTCTGGCTCCTTTTCTCTCTTTTATGTCTGCTATACTTAACTTATCCGAAGTATCTATCAAATCCTCCTTCTTTCCTGTTCCCTTTAACTCTGTACCCATCTCAAAACTGTCCCACCGCTGATGCCTTCTCATCCCCAGCCTCACGCTCCCACACCTCACTCATCACCTCCTCCTGGTGCTCTGCGCTCGCTGCCCCTCTGTCAGACTCGGCCATCCTCCTCCACCTGTACCCTTCCCCGTCCCCAAGAAGGTTCACCCCTAACAGTAGGTGCTCTGACTTATGTGCCAAGTGCCCCTGGAGAAAGGCTGGCCCATGCACAACATCCTAGACTCCAAGTCCCCCATCACATACACACACCCCTCCCAGCCTAGACCCTTGCCTCTCCTCTAGCCTCATTAAGCTACAACATTAACGGTTTAAACAACCAGATAAGTCCCCTTACAAAGGCAAATGCCCTCACTGGCAACTTCATCCCTAGTATACACCAAAAGAAAGCTACATATGTACACCAAAAAATGTGTGCAAATATGTTCCCTACAGCGTGGTTCCTGGTCACCAAATCTGAAAGCAGCCAAAATCAGCAGATGGATGGATTTTCAGGTAACGACTTACTATAAAGCAATGAAAACCAACAAACTACTGCCAAGCAGCACAGATGAATTTCAAACATAACACTAAATGAAAAAAAAAAAAACCAGACAAAACAAATAAACCTTGTATGTTTCCACTAGAGAAGTTCTAAAACAGGAAAAACTAACCTGGGATATTAAAAGTCAGGATTGGGGTTACTTCTGGGGAAAAATAAGAGGGAGTAATTGGGAAGGGACAGGAGGGGACTTCTGGGGGGTGCTGGTAATGTGCCATTTCTTGACTTAAATGGTAGTTACATGGCTTGTTCATTTTGGAACGCATCAAGCTATATGTGTATGGTTTATGCACTTTTCTGTATATGTGTTGTATTTGTTATATTTCAATAAAAGGCTGATTTTAAAATACACAAATGAGCACAAGGGATAGGGTATGCATGAAATGTCTACAACTGGACGGTGGCAATGACTACGCAAGTGCATAAATTGACAGAACATCACCAAAATGTACAATTACAATGGGTGGATTTAGTAGTATATACACCGTACCTCAATAAAGCTGTTAAAATATATACAAATAAAAAAACACTGGGTCACTAAAATGTAAATTCATTACAGGGAAGGACTTGGAGGGTTATATGCCTAGCTCCTGAAAATTTGTTGGGGAGGTGGGAATTGGATCTACCAAAATGTAATTCTTGAGAGTTTCCCTCTTTATAATCTCCTTGTGGGACGTTTAAGTGACAGTTATAGAACTGAAGGCCCTAATTTCAGAGTATTTCTATATTTTGCTTCTCCAACATCATAGTTGTTAAGAGAGCAAAGACTGTATGGGTTCAAATCCTGGCTCCCTCGCTTACTGTATGATCCTGAGTAAGTTCTCTGTGCCTCAGTTTATTTATCTGTAAAATGGAGGTGATTATAATAATAAGACCTACCTCATAGGGTTGCTATGAAGGATAAATTGTTAATCTTCACATAGTAAGCATTATATAATGTTTGGGAAATAAAGTAGTTCTTTCTCCTGAAAATAACAAAGTAGACTTTGGAGGAAGGGATGGGCAGTTCCGGTGCATTACCTGATGAAATGTGTACTTAAACAAAAGTGTCAAAAACTCCACCACAGGAAACTGGGAATAGGACTCAATTCTTCGTAGGTGAACACTCACAAAGAGCCGCAGAAAGTCAGTAAACTTCTCGATGTAGCTAAGTATGACAAGAAGACAAAAGATGAAAATAAGACACACAGCCACCTTCATAGAAGAAAACTCAAACTCAGTCCAAATTTCTTTCAGTAGAGAACTATACAGATTTATATTTTCAGTTAAAAATATAAAGGCCTGTGACAATTACCTACAGGTCAGGCAACCTTTCATCCCATTACCACCTGAAACATAGCAGAAAAGCAACTTTAATCCTCAAACACCATCTACTAAAGCATCATAAACTAGTGCTCTTCTATTTTCTAATTCATTAGTGGTGTGGCGCAGTTAAAGTGGAAAGAAATGGTACTAAAAGTCAATGGGCAAATCACGTTTGCCATTTCAATGGAGCAGGTCTGGAAGGCTGGTTTTCTTTGCTAGGAGGCCAAAATATTAACATGAATGTGCTAAACACACACACACACACACACACACACATAAAACAAAGCAAAGCTATACAAAAGGCATGGCATCCAGGTAAGATATATTCAAGCCTGCCCCGTGTTTAATTAGCTCCTGGTGGTAATTAAACACAGCACATCCCAATCCACTCCAAAGTGATTTCAAAAATAAAGGAAGAAGGCTGTCAGAGCTGGAAAAGCCTTGGAACAATTAATCGGATGCTTCATTTTACAGAGAGGCCCAGAGACAAAGTGATCAGCCCAAGGCCACTCAGCCAGCTCATGGCAGAAGGGAACCACCATCCACTCCCAACTCAGTGCTGTCTTTTCACAGCACAGTGAATCCCCAATCATTTCACAGAAGAGTATGGGTCACCGCTGCAAGGATAAGAGACTTTGTTACTAAATACACTGCACATCATCACTCTCACATTTCAGACACTGTCATTTTAAGCCCCTAAATACCAAAAGGTGATTAGAAAATGAGATGGACATATCTCCATAAATCACATTTCAAAGACCAATTAAAAAAAAAATATATATATAGACATAATAGGCCCTAGCCAAAAATTAAATAATGGTTAAAACCAATTCCGAAGCTCGTAACTGCAAAAACAACCATTTTTAAGGCACAGACATATAAAATAATAAAGGAGGAGAGAAGACTATTATTCAGAGGAGCAAAATTAGACCATAAATAAAATGTCCCATGTTGTTCTTGGGACCTATCACCCTGCAGGTGGCCCAATGGTCAGACCTCCACACATATGTAAGCTTCTTTACAGCTAAAATAACAGTGATTTACATGATAAGGATCTTGGGGCCAAATACTTGAAAAACAGTAAGGCACTGAAGTCAACTGTTTTTAGAAATAGAAAATAAGACACTTCTCTCTGATGCCTTTAAATCACCAATACCAAATGAGCCAGGGACTCCTCATTCCTCACTCTGCTTATTACATTATGTTTTTATACGGATTTTCAAATTCGCCAATCCATTTACCCCTCTTTAAAAAGATGTGCTCAATTTCCTACCACCCATAAAAAAATAAAGAGAAGTCATGGGTAAAATATCACACAATCTCAATTTTATTTTAATCTCCAACTCAATTTTTTAAAGAATGCAAATAAAGCTGTGCAGTAGCTACAAATTTTATTTCACCTCATTTTCTTTCCCTTGCCCACCTTCTGGTACAGGTGCTCATGAGCAGTGGAGAGTTAGAAAAAAGGCAGTGGTGGGGAAGAGAAGCGGAGGCCCTGGGTGAGTGGCTCCTAAACAACTGAGGGCGGACTTAGCTGTTTAGAATTAGGGGTGGGGACCCAAGAGCTAGGAAGCAAGCGCACACTGCCATTATGTCACCTTTCCGCTTCCAGGCACCGCTCAGCTTTCACAGGGCAATAGGAAGCATAGAATTAAAATATAAAACCAAGAGCATAAAAGTTACACATAACAAAATCAGTGCAAAGATAATCGACAATGACATTTCTACACCACCCGAAGTGAGCCGTCACAAACACTATGCTACAAGTAAAAATCAAAACAGCTGACACTTGACCACTTGGTACAAGCCGGTAAGATTTTTATTTTAACATATGAAAATATAGCCTTTCTTAACCCAGGCTAGAAAAAATATAAAATTGTGTTTGAATACTGATGCCCTTGAATTTATATACAAAGCTATTACCAAATGATAAAAAACAAAACATACTACCACAGTGGATTATGAGTTTTTGTTATTGTACAGAGAAAATTTTACATAAAGCTTGCTTACAATGAAGCAAACCAAAACCATCTTATATACCATGTTTTTAACTTTAGAAAAACTTGTTAAAATTGCTAAATTTAAAAAGCACTAAAACCATCTTAACTTTAGGTACTTTATACTGTTATTTATTCTAAGGAAAAGGAAATGATTTAACTCTGTATAGCTTAATAGCAGAAAACGAGCCAAGGAAAACTGATCGGAATATTAACTTTGGCTGCTGGGCAATCTATACATATTTACTAATTTAACATAATTCGCTTGGAAGTGTCAGAAGAGTCGACGTGATGCTGTTAATCGAGGTTGCCGTCCCCCCTCTTGTTTCTGCCCTGCAGTAGCATCACATTAGTGGCAGCTGTGAGACAGATGAACGACATCATCTACAGGAGAAATAAATGAGACCGTGCCTCAGGGTAGGTACTGTGAGGGAGGCATCTTTCAGGGCACTTAAGAAAGAAAAGTCAGGTAATTTTAGACTCCATTCAAAAGGACAACACACACACACAGGTGTGTGCCACGTCAGCTCTCCTTTGTTTTCATGAACACTTGCCGTGTGTGAAGCTTACAGTAGCGTAACAGTCCTATACGCTCGCTGCCCGATGTTCACTTGGGAAAAGTCAAACAGTAAAAACTGACAAGCCACACCAAGAAAGGGTGATTGCCACTCCTGTACCTCCATGGACCTCCTCTCCTGTTCTTGGCTATGCATGAGCAGCAGTCTCAGTTCCTGCAAGACCTCAAACCTGCAGGCAAATAGTGAGGAGAAGGTGGGAGACAGGGTGCAGGGGAAGGGAGGACAGGAGATGGGTGGGGAAAAAAGACAACAAACCTACACAATTCATAATCACTTTTCAAACTCACCTCATTTCCCTTAACCACCCTAGCCCTTCCAGCTGAGCTTAAACTTATTAGTACACACTTACCTTTCTGTTTCTCAACCAGGAGCCCCAAATTTTGAAACCCAAGAGGATTACAGACACCATGCAGAACACTCTGATAGCTTAATCGAGGCCCTTTCTCAGGGCACAGCCAACTTCACACCTGTTTTTATTACCTCTCATCCAGTTCTTCTAGCCTGCTCTTCACCGTATGGGCATTGTTATCCTTGGTGATTTTCTGCAGGAGGTAGAAAGTCTGCTGGAACATACGCAGTAAATACTCCTCAAATTCCATAGGCACGCAGTTCTTGGACATGAGTTCATTGATGCAGGACATGGCCAGGACCCCAAGCCGGCCGCGTTCCTGACCCAACACACAGTTCTGGCTGTTGCCGTTAACTGATGCCATCTTTTTGGCCCGGATGTCACAGCCAAAGCGCGCAAAGTGGAAGATGGTGGTAAGAAGGGACGGGGTGATGCTGGCAGACAGAGGAATCCAACTGAAGAGATGGGCCAGGCACTCCAAGGCCAGAGAACAGATATACTCACTCTCCGCATCGAGGATGGGGATTGGCTGATTCAACAGTTTGGCTGAACTAGGACTCTGCAACAGGTTACTCAATAAGTCACCTGAAAATACAAAAGGCTTTTTTAAGATCTACACTATCAAATATCTTACAAACCAATTTAAATAATTCTCCTTCAAACAAACAAACAAACAAAAAGTAAACATTACTACAAAGCAACAGTTCTCAAAGTTTGGTCCAGGAACCCTTGAGGGGAGTCCCCAGGACCCTTAAAGGAATTCTCAAATTCAAAACTACCTTTAAAAGAATCCTATAAGTTATTCTGCTTTCTCACTTTTACTGTCTCACAAGTGTACAACGGAGCTTTACAGAGGCTATATTACTTGTGATACCCAACAAGCTCTCTTTCATTAAGTCACATAGTGGACTTCCAGTCAGGATGGCAGCACAGGTAAACACAGCTCACCTCGCACAACCACATCAAAGTCACAACTAACTTACAAAACCACCACCACTGAGAGCCATCAGAAATCAAGCTGAATGCTTTTAAATTGTGTACTACTTTTTATAACTTACACCTTTCATTTGCCCTTTTTTAAATCTCATTTATAAACATTCTTGAATATTTTTTTGATTCAGCCTCTTACAATTCTCAAAACCAATCTTAGTAATAGTTGAAGTTCAATCAGCATTTGTTAAATGAATATCTGGACAACTGTACTTCCAGTCAAGACAACGGTGTAGGCAGACATGGTTCCCTCTTCACACAACCACATTAAAACTACAACTAAAATATAAGAACAACCATCACTCAGAACCACCAGAAAGTGAGTTGAATGGAAGTCTGACAACTAGGAAATTAAAGAAACCAATCCACCTAGAGTGCTGGGAGGGCAGAGAAATGGAACGGGCTGGTAGCACACCCGCACGTGGTGGAGAAAAATGTGGAAGGAATATCTCAGGAGCGAGGATTCCCAGCCCCACATCAGGCTTCCACTGACAGGAAGATAAGTCCCCACAACTTCTGGCTGCCAACACCAGCAGGGACTCAGATGGTGAAAGAAACTTCTAGAGTCCCAAATTCCTCTTAAAGAACCCACACACAGACTCACCTACTCAGACTCATTCCCTCTCAACTCCAACACTGGGGTAGCAGCTTGAAAGGCACCAGTGCCATACACGGAAGACAAGAAGCATCTGGCATCAAAGTGAGAGTTGGGGAACAGCTTTCTCCCAGACAGGAAGGACACTGTCCCTTTTCTGAACCCTCCACCCACAGAGCCACAGGGCGACAGGCTAGTGCCATAGCTGAGCCTCCATCGACCTGGTTAACACTGTTTGCCTCACCCTAGAGATCCCCTGGGACTCCAGTCCTACCTAACTTAGGGCCCACCCAAGCTATTAAGAGACTTTTCCATGTGAACGACTCATCTTGGCTCATGCTTCACAACTTCCTAAATCCTCTCAAACAAGCAACAGTCTCCCTACCTTTTGCTTAGTGGCCCTAGGCATGGCACTAACAGCAGCTAGCCTAGGTTCATAGCTTGGCTTTACCTGAGAATCTCCAAGCAAAAGTATCAGCCGTCTCAGATTGCTTTAGAGCCCAGACAGAGTGACCCCAGGCAAAACACAGGTGGGGGCTGATGTTGGCCTATACCACACGGGAAACCACAAAAGCCTGCACACCTGGCGGACAGTGGCAGACCACGCTAGAGCACCACCACCCTGCCCTTACACAGATGACCCTCCACAGAGGGCAGAGGCTGGCGCTCAGTGGTCACAGCTGATCCCTGCAGCTGACTGGCCTACGTATATCCCTCCCATTGATCTGCCAACAGCAACCAAGGATCAACTACAAAAGGAGAGTATACTCAGTACAGGACCTAGCTTGGGTGATAAGGGAGGCTGTGCCACTGGACCCTATAGGACACCTACTACAGCAGGCCACACTACCAAGACAGGGAGTCATAGCAGCTCTACTTAATACATAGACACAAACACAGGGAGGTTGCCAAAATGAGTAGACATAGAAACTGAATGAAAAAACAGATCAAAATTCCAGAAAAGAACTAGACAAATGGAGGTAAGCAATCTATCTCCATTTAAAACACTGCAAAGTTCAAAACACTGGTTATAAGGATGCTCAAGGAACTTAGTGAGGACTCCGACAGCATAAAAAAGATCCAGTCAGTAATGAAGGACACACTAATTAAAATATAGAATACAAGAGAACAACAGTAGAGTGGATGAAGTTGAGAATCAAATCAATGATTTGGAATGTAAGGAAGCAAATAAAAACCAATCAAAACAACAAGAAGAAAAAAGAATCCAGAAAGTGAGGACACTGTAAAACACCCTCCAGGACAACTTTTAACAGGTCCGACATTCACCTCATAGGGGCGGCCAGAAGGAGAAGAGAAAGAGCAAGAAATTGGAAATCTATCTGAAAAATAGTGAAAAAAAATTCCCTAATTTGGTGAAGGAAATAGACATGCAAGTCCAGAAAGCACAGAGTCCCAAACAAGATGGATGCAAAGAGACCCACTCCAAGACACATATTTCAACATAATTGAAATGCCAAAGGTTAAAGATAAAGAGAGAATCTAAAAGCAGCAAGAGAAAAGCAGTTAGTTACCTACAGGGGTGTTCCATGAGACTGTCAGCTAATTTCTCAAAAGAAACTTTATAGGCTAGAAGGGACTCGCTAGAAATATTCAAAGTACTGAAAAGCAGGAACCTACAGCCAAGACTGCTTTACAAAGCTATCATTTAGAATAAAAGGGCAGATAAAGCACTTCCTCAGACAAGAAAAAACTAAAGAGTTCATCACCATGAAACCATTATTATATGAAACATTAAAAGGACTTAAGAAAAAGATCAAAACTATGAGCAATAAAACGGTAATAAATACATACCTATCTATCAACAACTGAATCTAAAAAACAAACCAAGCAAATAAGAAGAACAGAGACAGAGTCATGGATACAAAGAGCATTTTTTTAATAGATTTTACTTATTTATTTACTTTTAGAGAGAAGGGAACGGAAGGAGAAAGAGACAGAGAGAAACATCAATGTGTGCTTTCCTCTCACACCCCTTCCTGGGGACCTGGCCCACAACCCAGACATGTGCCCTGACTGGGAATTGAACCAGTGATTCTTTGGTTCACAGGCCAGCACTCAATCCACTGAGCCACACCAGCCACAGCTACAGAGAACATTTCGATGGTTGCCAGATGGGAGGGGGTACAGGGGAATGGGTGAAGAGGTAAGAGGATTAAAAAGTGCAAATAAGTAGTTACAGAATACTCAGTGGGATATATGGCCCAGTATAGGGAATGGAGTAAAGAACTTACACGCATGACCCATGGACGTGAACAATGGTGTGGGGACTGCCTGAAGGAGTGGGGGGTGCTGGGTGGAGGGGCACAAAGGGGGCGAAGTTGGGACAACTGTAATAATGATCAATAAAATATAATTTAGAAAATTAAAAATAAAAAATACAGCCACATAGTAAAGAGACTTGCAAAGATGTAAAATAATGCTGCTCTTCTCAGTAAATGTCTGTTTGCTTTGAAAAAGTTATTTTTCATTATAATATATTATGTTTATATAATAGATTCATCAGTTATTTTAAAATTAAGAAATATTTGTAAATTTTCTGTTTTAATATCTTTGAGAATATCTGTTTTAATATTTTAAAGAATAACAGTTCTGGGTGAGGGTTGACAATATGGGTAAAAGAAGTCAAAGGGTACAAACTTCCAGTTATGACAAATAAGACCTGGAGATGTAATGTACAGTATGTGATTATAGCTAACAGTACTATATATACTGTTTAAAGTTTCTAAGAGATGCCTTAAAGAGCTCATCTCAAGAAAAAAATTTGTAACTAGGTAAGGTAATGGATGTTAACTTATTATGATGATCATTTCATAATATATACATATATCAAATCATTGTGTTGTACACCTAAAACTAACAGTGTTATATGCCAAGGATACCTCAATTAAAAAAAAAAAAAGAGTAATGGGGCCGACAGACCAAAAAATTTGAAACTACTGGGCTGTCAAGGAAGGTCTGTGGACCTGCACCATCGGCCTCTCTGGGAGTTTGTCAGAAAATACAAACCATCAGGCCCCATCCTACACACGCCAGCTGGAGGAGAACCAGGAAAGAGAGGGCCCGGGGATCTCAGTTTTTACAAGGTCTCTAGGGTTATTCTTATGCTTAATTTTTAAGCATAAAGATAATCATGGACTAAAGATAATCATGTAAAATGAAATGGGGGGAAGTATAAAATGATTTTAGAAAAGACAAAAGAAAAAAATATTCAAAACTATAACAAGACCGGCCAAGATGGAGGCATAGGTGGAAACACTGTGCCTCCTCACACAACCAAGTTTAAAGACAACAAAGTTTTAGTAACAAAAACGCAACTAAATTGAACCATACTGAAGTCCGACAACAACGAACCATTCAGCCACACCGGTAAGAGGGGTGGAGCCAGCGGCTGGAAGAACAGGGTCATGCAGGAAAAAGTGGCTAGACTGACAGGCCCGCAAGCGGTGGTTGGCAGGTCCCAGGTGTGGGGTGGCAACGGGTGGACCCAGTGGGGGTGCAAGATGGCTGGCTGACCACGGTCACACATCCACACACAGATAAACCAGGGGAAGGAGTGGGCAGTGAGACAGACAGCCCAAACCAGGGCCCCAGTGACAGGAATTAAAGCCTAAAAGCACCAACTGGAAAAATTTTCAGGTCAAGGTGCTGGGAGAGGCTCCCAGGCTCACAGAGTTCACTAGAGAGACCCAGAGGGTCCTGGAGGGTGCACAGGCCCACACACCCAGGAGCCGGCACCAGAGGGGCCCGGTTTGCTTGCTTGTGGGAAGCAGCAGAGGGGACCCAAATCTGAGAGAGCAGAACAAATGACCCCGTCCCCACATACAGTGTCACAATCCAGCAACCGGGTGGCCCCACCCTGGTGAACACCTAAGGCTCCACCCCTCACACATAACAGGTGCAACCTGACCAAAACATTATGGCTCAAGCAGAACAGCTCAAAGTCCCAGAACCAATACTTCTAAGTAACCAAGAGATAGCT